TTTCTTACAAATAAAAACATGGTTTATTAGACACTATGAAAATTTAAATGTGCTATTTCTTTGTTTGTCATATAAAAGTAGCAATACATAGGAAAAGGAACAAACAATATACAAACAGGGTGTTGATGAGTTGCGGTGGCTCTAAATATTGTGTAACCAGAATACATGAAATATGAGTACGTAAAACGATATTGTTAATTACATGGTGTCGCCTGTAAAAGTATTCGACTAAACTATGAACATATACAGTCTAATTACTCACTTTAAATCGAAAGCTTAAACGTCTATCAAATTCAACATGTGTTACTTTATCAGAGGTGTAACGAAATGAGTCATTTGTCTACTTGACAGTTATTGCAAATATCCCATAAATGAACGATGTTCGCGTCTATCATCTGTCGAAACAACTGTTTTGTATTGAAGTATTTGCTAACCTCAAGGTGGCCTTCCGTCAATCATCTTAAGGGTTTGAACTCAGACAGCCGGCCTGCAAACCAATTAACACAATGCATCATACCACTGAGCAAAAATGCCATTCTGCGACGCTGTTCTCATGGATTATAGGCATAATAATTGAGGTAGAGATAGTCTCTATCGTAAAAACTGAAGCATATGTTAAGTAAGAAAAATATGTTTTTATAAATTTGTTGATAGATAGAACAATAGAACAATCATTGACGCATTAACTATACAGTTAATAGACAAATGTACAATGATATTTAAAGACCTTGTAAACGCTTTTGTTGACATTATACATAAAGAAAAAACTGGTGAGCGGCGTTTGGGAAAAGCTAGACAACATGAATATTGCTATAAATTTCACATTTATATGTTACTGAAATACAAGTTACTGAAATACATGACAGTGTCGTTTTGATCTTTATAATTATTATATTTATTATATTTATTTATTTATTTATTTATTTATTTATTTACTTATTTATTTGCGTGGGACAGTGAAATTTGGAATAATTATGTACTTAGACTTACAATTTAATACAATTAGAAACTTAAGCTATCCTCGTTATCAGTAAAATTAGTTTTTGCATTTGATTACGTGTTTCAGTTGTTTTTTTTTTAAACTGCATAGTGTCAAGTACTACCTTAATTATTTTAACTATATCCTTTGGCAACTGTATCCAGTAATTGTTTTTTTTGGCTTGGTGGTAAAGTGCATCATGTTTACTGGTTTACAAGACGGCGGTCGAGAGTTCCCATCTAGGATAATTGACGGATTGCCACCTAGGGGTCAGCAAAATCTTCAAAACAAAAGCAATGGTTTACTGATGAATGACACGAAAATCATTTATTCATGAAATGTTATCAATATATTCCAAGTTGACAAACGACTCAATTCGTTACATCTCCTATAATGTAACATGCTGGATGCAATTTCAGTTAATTAGATTTTAAACTGTACATTTTCATACTTTGGTAAAATGCTTTACAGACCATGTTAAGTTAACAAAACTATCATTTCAAATACGAGATTTGTCTCATACATTTTGGTCACGCAGCTTTGGAAGTCACAAAATCTACTATTTTCTTCTTATTTTTATTGTAGTAACTATGTATTCCTACATGAAATCAATGAACTTTGGACCAGTTATTTTTCGGCCAAAGGCCGTCTGATTTCACCTTGACTTCCGCTAAAATTAACAGTAAAGAAATGAATATAGGCAGAATTTTCATTGGTCATTAACACTAATAGCCTGTTCGATTGATACTTTAGAAGAGCTACCGTTATAGGTAGAGGTCTGTTCGATTGCGCGATGACAAGAAGTCTTGGAAAAAGACATAAGTCAAAATAAATATAAAAACACAATAATGATATTTTCTAAATGTTTCTAACAGCTTTTCAATAAATATATGGAATTAAATATGACAGATCGCCTTTTTGGTACTTTTGCGTTCGATTGGATTTCTCTTCTAAGATGTTCTAGTCATTATATTCTCTTCTCGAACCGGACGATTGAAACGAACTTTCGACTAATTTACAGTTGCAAAATTCCCCGAGGAATTAGTGTACAGTATCTACTAAATCTTTGTTTTATTATAAAATTAATTCCTATTCAAATCAAATTCCATTTCGATTAAAATCAAAAATTGTAAGTTATATTGTTAAAATCTAAGATGACAATTAATGGGGAAAAACATTGCGGGTAAAAATGAACTGAAATAAAACTATTGAGGACGAATAAAATGTTCTGTTTGCGGTAAGCATGGTTAGTAGTAGCTTATCCTATGCAAGTTAACAAGTTTGACTTCGGCCGAGTATCTTTTTAAAGATACTTCTTGTATTCTTTCCTTTCCTGAAAAAGGCAATGGCAACAAACTCGGTTGTTACGTATAGAAATCTTTTATTCTCTAGATTCTTATTATTCTTATGTTACCTTTAAATATTGTCGAATTACTATGATGGAGTGGTGGAAATATAGATGGATCTGTCCATTATACCCATATGTCTAAAGTATGTTTTTCTTTGTTGTTCCCTTGTGCCATAAAGAACCTTTGCTCACGGAATGATTCGTTATTATATTAATACATAATGAATAAACCGTTATTTTATCGTTATACTATATTATCCCTTAAAGCTGCACGCCTCCAGATGAGCACAAATATTTCATGAAAATCAATATTGAGAAAAATGCACTAAACTTTCAGAAAGGTAAAAACATTCAAGATCCAAGTTATATTTTACATATTATGTGCGGTTTAACGCTGATTTGGCAATATTTTATCATCATATTTCTACTGCGTTACTAACGCAAAAACGGCTGTTTTTGCATATGTTGATCACTTTTTTGGTAATTTTCGTGGATTGTAATTGCCGATTGCATTATGTTAATTACTTTATTTGTTCACCTCACATTATTTTACTTTTAAATACATTTCTAAAATTTTCATGAAAATTAACATGAATCTGGAGGCGTGCTGCTTTAAACCTAATATACTTTAAACCTAATATAGGTGTTTGGACCGATGAACGGATTAATAAATTACTAGATAAAATCCGCATTGACATTTAAAGTATGATGGTATCGATTGAAATGACCATATTACACACTACCTACTGTTATGCTGACATAATAAATGACGAAATCAAATACTTGGTTGGGGAAAGCTTATCAGCACAAATGGAACATTACTTTAAATGAACCCAAGGCGGTCTTAAAGCCTGTAATATATTGACTCGCTATTGGTCGGCTAGTATTAGTCACTAGCTGATAAGCTCCGCCTAAATTCGCCTGGCATCACCTCTCTGTAGTATCATTAGTAAATAGATTTAGAAACCAAACTGCGTTGTTTAATCTCTCTACGTATGCTGTCCAGTAATTATGATATAGCAGACATTACAAAGCCTAAAAACATAAAGTTTGAGAATCATACACATACCAACTAGGGTATTTTAAACTTGATAATTTTGAAGATAATAAATGAATATACCTAGAATGAAACTGAACATCGGAAGTGAGTGTCATTCTTAGCCCGATTTGGGTGAACACTTTCACTTTTAGGTCATTTTGTAAAAATATAAATGATTAGTTTTGAAGTGGAGTGAGCGAATAATATAAAAAATTGGTGTAGACCTACATCAAGTTATATAGTAAAATCTCCATAATAATTCCAGTCCGTCATGTCAAAAGTTCTTAGTGACGGCCTCTTAAATCTGATATTTGTAGCGTCAAAGAAACACTGAAATGGACTCAAATGAGATTATTCGATATGAGTTGACTGGAAATATTTCTTGATTTTTTAAACTTCTTTCATACATCCGTTCGTCCGTCCGTTGAACCACATTAGGTTAATAAAACGATTCAACCATTAATGTTCATTCTGTACCAATAGAAAAGGAACAAATGTCCTATATTCAATAAAGGAGTATGATAAAAATACTAAGACCACCCGTTAATAATAACAGACACCATCAATTCATCTACCAATTATTTCATCATTGTTATCCCACTAGGGTTCAGAGAAGGCCACATAACAGTGAAAGGAATAAAAGAAAGCTGTGCCTATTTTTAGCAAAGGAAAGTAACAAAAATGACTTTGAGTGCAAAATAAACTTTCAAAATAATTTTACTGGGGAATTTATTTGTTTAAACAGCCAAGCCATCCAATGCTTAGAAAATGAGGACTGCAATATTTCTCATTTAGTTCTTACACGTGTATTTTATTGAAATTTGATATCTAGAGTTATCATATTTGTAGAATTTTCCCAATTTCTTTATTTCAGATTGTAAAGATCACTTTGTCGAAAAGTTCTTGAATAAAGAAATACAGTTAGATGTTAGAAGTTTTGATTCCTTTACATTGATTGTGGCTTGGGATTTCCGGGCATCTTGGCGGCAGTTTATTGTGATTATCATTAACTAAAGGAATAACAAACTTCATTATCTAATTGTATTGAAAGATTCGAGTGGCATTATTATTACTCTGCGTTGATAACATGAGTTATCTGGCTTTTTGACTGACGTAAAATGACTGCCCCTGCAACATTGGCATGATCAAAGTAAATTAAAAAAAAACGATGCGTCCACTTTTATTTTGTCTGCAAAGATATTTTCCTCCAGACTGAGTCATGTAAAATTACACTATAATGCTAATTTGTGAGTGCATGTGTATTTTAACATTCATGAGGTCTTGTATAATCTTAACACTAGGTTTTGTGATTTCCTGGCGTATTGTTTGCTACTTAAATTGAAGGCAAAAATAAGGAATCAAGCTACAAAGTTTTTATAACTATTTCATTTTACTTGGTGGAATCATAAAGGCTGTATTTAATGTAAAAATCATTTACTCATCATTAACTCGGGAAATTTCTTGTGTGTTCGTTTGAATTGAACGGGATAGCTAATCGTGTATTTATGATATTTTCTTGACAATAAGAAGCGATTTTTATTTAGGTTTCATTCTTTTCTTTTGAAATCATTTTTGTGCTTAGTCTGAGAAAGTCCCTCGAAAATACACTTTAACACTTTAATAGAATTATAAGTATATAACACAGAAGAAAATATAAAATATACAAAGTTTATCTCATTTATTAATGTAATGTCAATGGTAAACAATACAAAGATTATACTAAATATTGCTAAATGATATACATGTATTCTGTAAAGCAACAGCAGTTCAACTTAAATTATGCATTTCACTTAAAAGCATCTTCTTCGTATTTAAAACAACATTTCGGAGTTTCTTGTTATCGAAAAGTATCCAAGTTTTAACTCGACCTTGCATTTTAACAGTGTTTCCCTGTCATATGAAATCGTTTCTCTATTTTTCTTTTTTGAATTAAACTACTCATTTTAAGAAACAAACTTGAACAGTTTTAATTTACTCCTCGGGTTTATTACGACCATTATTCATGATCATATTGAAAACACTAGATTTATACAATCCATTATTTTTACACACTACACCTACTGTTTCTGTATATCGTCATTTTTACAGTGTATTTAATATTTTAAGTAGCTGGATCCACCTTAGTTTATATGTAATAACAAGTTGGTGGCAAAAATTTGCAATAAAAGTTGTTGTTGAATGTTCAAGATAATTTATAGCTTAGTCTCTTTTTGAAAAGAAGGAACTATCTAAATCTGCTATTCGTTTTATACTTGTTGAGTCATCTCACTTTTAAATGCTATAGATAGGTGATTTAACAATACTCCGTCTAAGCAGAAGTCCACATGAAAATGTTTTACACTTCTGAAACAAAAAATAGATTCATAACGCCACCAGTTTTATTGAATTCCAATGAAAGAATTTCAAACACTTCTGCTCACAATAGAAGTTGCGGGTAACACGCTCTCTGATATATCCGAATTGACAGATTAGCATTGCTTGCCTCTTACTATTTTTTAATATTCAACTTAGGTCCTTCAATTATTTCATCTTGTACCAGTTTGGCACCATCTTGCCCATTAAACCAAGTGCAATCTGAAACATTAAAATAGGGGAAATATTATGATAATAAACTAGGGTAACATAATGTGATCTAATAATACCTATTTTACAAGCTTTAAAACATACCTAATAAATTTATTTTTAATTCAAAAGATTAATTTTGTGTTTGTTTATCCTTATAGTTTCGAGTCAAAGATTGGACAGGGTACGTGTCTCAGTCAATTGACACGTTAGGTATATTAGGGTGTCAATTATCTTCCACGTGACATTCAAAGTCCTTTTTGCATAAAGTCAATTTGTTGCAAAAGCTGGGACATTCATTTACGGAGCAACTTTAAATGAGTTAATGTGGTATGTAATCGAAATGGCTTTCAATGAATGTATGAAATAAACTAATAGCGCTTTGCATATACTAATCATTTTTCTGTAAGGACAGTTTCAACGTGTCAACTGATAATTTTCCTCAAACCAAATATCTATACTAAGTAGCATCTAACGTCAGATCAATGTTATTATATTTTTCGCATCTCTATATTTCAACATTTACAATCTTATTTTAATAATTGACTATTATCATTGTTGTATTATTATATAATATTTAGCACCCTGTCTTTATAGAATATGCCAAGAGGTATCTCAATACTTAATTAAATTCAAATGTAAATAAAGCTCGTATATAAAATATTTTTTCATGATAAAAGTTGACATCTAAATTCTATGTTTTACATACACGTGTAATATAACCATGCAATCGTTGAGTTATTAATTTCATAGAATAAAAGGATCTCCAACTAAAATGTATCCATTACAACGTAAAAGAGAATGCTCACTTTGAAAACTCTTTCCTCCATTCAATAACTATTTGGCTTTGAAGCTCAGCTCCTATTCCACTTTCTTCAAATATTTCGTCACTGTTTTTGGCATTAGAAATTCTTACATCTTCATGCCTGTCTAAATCATTTACGAGCTGGAAATAACAAGTTGGAATAACAAAATGAAACACACTTCAAAGCGAATATAATTTGTATGATGAGATTCCTTTGGTGAATGTCAAAATATATATATCAAAGCCACACTTTACAAAATATATTGCATTCCAATGTCTTAAAATTGAAAGATTATATTTTTTATCAAATTTTATTAATTAAGAAATTCATAAAAAATTATTGTTGCAAAATAACTTATTATTAGAATAAATGCTACATTTCATAAACCTAGTTTAATATGAATTATGATTATAAACATATTAGAATTAATAAAAAAAGTAAGTTTCTGAATTTTCGTTTTTGAACGCTCCCTAAGATAGCACGATTGAAATATCCTACTATTACAAACACGATTGCTTTCGTCTTTAAAATAGTCTAGTTTTATCTACGTCACTCCTGTTTCTACTCCAATCGTTCCTATTTTTTATTTAATCGGATACTCTATAATACTTTCTCCGTATCAGGATTAAAGCTATTTAAAACAAAAACTTTTCTTAAATTCCTTTTCAATCTTTCTGCTCATCTCTAAAAATGAAAATGTATAGTAACTTAATGCGTATTAACTTTAATACAAATCTTTCTTTATTACTTTATGAAACTGATGTTAAACATTTACAGGGAACGACCCACGATAGAAATGCCCAACTCTTTTGTATATTGTGTTATTTTGTTGATTTAAAAGAATTGATGTGTATTTATATCATTAAACTAAACTGGAATTTACTTTATTTTAATAAATCCTTGCTTACCTTATCATGAAGTAGATTCAAAGGCATAAAAACAGAGGATGTGTTTTACGTTTGATTTCAAGAACCCATTGAAGTCTCAAGATCTAAATGAGAATTGTTTTTCAAATTTTATATTTTCATTTAAACTACTACATAATTACAGTGTAGTAAAAATGAACAGTCGAAAAAAAATCATTTGTATAATTAAATTGAGATAAAATGTAAATGCACAAAGTATTCTACTTACCTTTCAGTTTTAAGAACAATCCTGACATTTTCTAATTATTCAGTCCAATTTGTTCAATCTGACTTATAGGAAATACTGTAGGTTCTATACGAGAAAACTGAACAATGTTCGCCTATTCCAAAGAAAAGACATGAAAGGTAGCTAGCAAACCAATAAAAATGCAGTATTACATTTATGAAAATTTGCTTTCAATGCAGCTATTGGCTAAATAGCATTGTCAATATCTATCTTTGTTTGTACTACAATAAAAAGGCGGCGTTATCAATATGTTCAAGATAACGTATGTATCCAATATGTAACTGAATTGAATCAAACGTAATCCTTGTGTGAGTCCGACGCTGCTTTTCATAAAACAAAGTTTCGTTTTTGGTCAAGAAGACAAATAAAAAAAAGGTGAAAAATTGGTAATTGAACAAGAATGTTTCATTTACACAAGTACCAGTTCTCAAATATCATAATTTGTTTAGTAACTTATACCTGTCTTATGTGCTGTCAGCTTATTTGTTCATGCCCATGTGTAAAACACTGTACGGCTGGTGCATTTTGATATGAGCTGATATACTGTTTTAGGAAAGTGATGTTTTGTTGGGCGTTCGGTCTTTGTTACATGTCAAAGACAATAAACCAATGTTTATGTTTTATACTTTGCATCCAATTGTATGCGTCCTTGTTTCGTTGAAGTGAATTGGTTTACAATGAAAATATTTTCCAGGAGAATTTAAAAATTTGATAAAAACAATAAATTTCATGATCTGAGTATTCTAATAAAATATTGGTTGAAAAATTGTGTTGATAAAGTTCAAAATGATTTAGTATTAACATTGATATGGTGAATAATAATACTTTGTTCTAGAACAAATTAGATTATATTATCTGCTGTATAAATATTTTTGTACGGATTATGTATCTCACAGTTTCAAACAACATGCATCCACATAGTTTTTGTGGGTTTGTCGTTATGTCTGATATTAAAATTCTATCAAAGTAATTATTTAATGTTTTATAGACCTTCCATTATAGACCATCGGCAGTCTATTGCAGAAAGAATAATTGCACGTATTTTGATATGATTCATACACACAAAAGTACTTAAATTGGAATATGTAAATTTCTATGAAAGCTTGCCAAATTGCACTTACAATAGCAAAAGTTGTAAAAGAAAATCCTACATCATACTGGTGTTAAATTGCGGGGGGAAATTCTATAGCACATTAAAACCAATTACATGTACATCTTTTTATTCATGTAACCTTGACCCCTCCAAATATCTTAAATGGATTTGTCCATCTTTCTATCCGTACTAAACCATTCATCACGTTTCGGGAGAAAATTTAGAATATGTCGAGACTGGATAGTGAACAGTGCAGACCATGATCAGACAACATGGTTATGTCGATTGATCTTGATCTGCACTGGTAACAAAGATACAATCAGTTGCCGCTAGCAGGTTGGTTGTTAAAATCAAATTACTGCTATTTGATTGTTAAATAAAAAAAATGATCTAGATTTACAATAAAATTTCAGTTACTTTTTTCCTTTTGTGCAATTAAAACCAATGGATTTTCAGTGTGAAAAAGAAATTACATGTACCACGTCTTGTACTAAGATAATGACGAGGGGAAGTAATTCGTTTATAGTTTAAGATTTAATACATTTACAGTGTTGTCTCCTTTAAAGTATTGAATTGTACAGTACAAAAATATTTCTTACGTCACATACGTTTTGTTTTCTTTTTTCTTAAAATACAAAAACAGGGTATATGTACTGCAGTGTTTAGTGAAAACAGAATCCTAATTATAAGCCGATGAAAGATATTATAATATTAATTTGTTGGAAATGTAGTTCATAATTTATTATGTTCACTTCAAAACATATGCTAAAGTTGGCCTAGCTACTGCTCTGGTTAAATTCAAGTGTCTTACGGTCGTGCTCTGTGGGTAAACTACAAACACATATAATTGTATGTACGAGGTTCTCGGCCCGATTTATTTCCGGTAGTCAGAGAACCCAACTAATGGTCTTACTTTTCAATATAATCGCCCTCTACACCAATGCACTTTTTCCACCTATGATCCAACTTGTTTAACCTTTCAATAGAACTCTCCCTTTTGGTCCTCAAAGAACTCATTGACCGCCTTCATGACACCTTCATTGCTTCGGAAACATCTACCACTTAGCTTAGTTTTTCGTTTCGGAAACAGGTAGAAGTCAGAGGGGGCCAAGTCCAGAGAATATTGGGGATATATTGGGGATGGTGAAGTATTTCAAAGCCGCAATCAGTTGCAGCAGCCATCGAAACTTGGGATGTGCGAGCTTCCGCACTGTCGTGTAGGAGCAGAACGCATTGAATCAGTTTGCCCCTTCTTTTACGCGCGATTTCTTGACGCAGACGTCTCAATTCGTCTGCATAATACGTACCGTTTATGGTACGACCTTGCTCAAGATAGTCAATCATGATTATCCCCTGACTATCCCAAAACATTGAAGTCATCATCTTCCCTGCTGATGGCACCCTCTTGAATTTCTTCGGAGGGGGTGAGCCAGGGGCCAGATGGTTCCAATGCATGCTATGTTTTTGTTTTTGAAATCAGGTTCATCCTCGTAGCGAGACAAAAGATAGAATATATCTTTAAATGTCAAGCCTGGTCCGTTTCTGGACGTCAGTCAACTGTCAAACTGCGGAAACCTTTGACATGCCATAGACATAAGTCAGAATTGCCTGAACTGAACCGAAGCTTATACCCACTTCCCTAGCAATGCTTCGCAGGTCTTGCCTTCTGTCGGACATGACCAGATCGTGCACTTCTTCGTGGGTGGCCTCTTTTGGCCGCCCGCCCAGGCCGCTCATCATCTCCAATGTTCTCCCGCCCCCTCTTAAATTCAGCAGCCCATTGTTTACCGTGCTATAGGAAAAGGACTCCTACCCAAGTGTATCTGTGAAGTCTTCATGGAGTTCCTTGGGGGCATCCCTTTCTTACAAAGGTACTTAATTACGGCTGTTATTTCAACTTTCTCCATTTGGTCTAAATGACACACACCCTTCGATCTTCTTATCAAAGCTAGTGTGTTGATGTAAAACCGCGTGTAACTCGGTCAGTAGCCTAATCTTCAATTGTATCATAGTTTAGGGACCTTTATATTGAAAATGTGTCAGAGTTCAATCGTATACATATACATGCACAGTGTGTTTACTTGAGTGCAGGCATTAGTTACCCGCACTCCAGAGCATGCCAATTGATTGGCTCATTTGTGCTGGGGTTTACTTATTGTGACGGCAGAGAACGGGAAAGCGATATAGCAAAAAAAGGCCAATATCATATTCAGATGCTCGTTCATTGGTTACTTTTTCTGGGGTTTCATATTGTGACAACAGACACAGTGTCATGATGTAAAAGAGAAAGAACATCAAAACACTCGGCAATCTGATTAATACTCGGGGGCTACACCCCCTCGTACAAATCAGATAATAAGAAAAAGGTATAAGCGTATTATAAGAAGGGTCGATAACTCAGGTATATAATTTTATTATCATTTCGCATATTTGTATTGGTTTTGAGGCAAATAAACCCTAAATATGAATGCTATAAACATTTGACCTTGAGCTTAAAATCTCGATTATAATTATAAAACGCATTTAGAATATAACAATTGAAGTGGGGTGTCGAAATTGGATCGAAATTGAGCGATATTAATCTTATTTGTCGGCCAATTTCGACACATAGTCATAGAAATATTAAAACTTCAAATTCTCAAAAGTTACTACATGCATTAATAAAAAAAGTCTACATGCATTAATAAATAATTCAGACATGTTAATTTTCCAAAACATTATGTTATATAGATCTATATATATCTCTACTCGATTTCTCGTGTAGTCTAGGCGTGTAAAAAATAAATAATTTTTATTCAGCTAAACCTAAACTGTGCTTTTTTAAACTGCTGTTGTCACAGTACAAAAAAAATAAAAAATAAAAAATCTAAATCAATGCCAACTCATAACTTTTTATTACGCGCGCAAAAAGGTCGGAGTTTGATCGATCGGGTGAAACCGTAAAAAGTCGGAGAGACGCCGATTAAAAATGAAAACATGTGACCTTGCAAGCTGTTCCATCTTTTGAACATACAGATAATATAAAAATTGGCTGAAATCAGATCTATATTTATATGTTGATTATTTCAAACTCTTTGTTATATATTAAATTATATGAAACAATATTACGGTATAAATCACTGCTGCCAAGAGAATATCGATTGAAAAACTGTCATTATCTTAATAAATATTTTGCTTTCCACTGTGCGGAACAGCCATTTGGATAATGGCGACTATGTAAACCCGGCAAAATCGCACATTGGCATAAATTTACTAATCCCATATCGTTTAGATGTGTTTCAGAAAGACATAGTTATTGCAACTGAGTCAATACACGTTAGTTTCTACATTTGTATATGTTAAACGCTACGATTCTTTTTAGGAAACCTTCATTCGTACAATTTGTGCAATTCCATGTTTTTGTTTTGTTACCCCTCCCACACAAAATACAATGCATGGGAAGCTTTTAGAAAGCTGCATGGCAACTTTAACATACCACAGAAACGACTGTTGTCAGTTAATTACAATATAGTAGCGTCTATCAGATGTATATGCTGTGATTTTGTTATTTTCTTTCAACAGCTCAAACTGAATAGGGTCCACCAAATAGTCAGAAATGAGGTTAGATTTGGGATTTTACGTTGCTAAGTGTTTACAAACAGTAGCTTAATGTAGAAATTAGAGTTAAGTAAGATTAACCATTTCATTGTAGATAAAGCATCAAGTGTACCATAGTGTCACTTAATCTGTAATATGCTAAATGGATCAGGTGCCAGGGCTTTATTATATAGACGATGGTCCCTCTTCGTAAAGATCCACATCTATGTATTATTGTAAAATTGGTCAGTCTTGCAGGCAAAATATTGAGACTAGAATAAGATGAACATGTGTGAAAATATTGTAATGATACAACAGAGTGAATACTCAATCTGCATCCGCCACACGTAACTAAGATGGAGAAGAGACTGTGACGTCTCACAGTTAAAATCAGTATTGGCGTAATTGTGTTCCCGCAAGTTATCATAAGTCGCAGGATTTGATGCATCCTGGGTAAAAGTAGCCAAAATACTGCCATATTGAATGCCCGGAGGTACATCAACAAAAAAGACTAGTTAAACATATTTTACTTATATAAGAAGCAATAGTTATTTATTCTAAAACATACAAAACACACTTTTCCTGACTGGGATTGTGGGTCTGAATCAGACTCTTGTCTATTTTCAGAGTTTCCTATCCATTGTTTATATATCTGTGTTATTTATAAAAATTGCTGTGTTCTGGAGTGAGTCACCCTATTAATGTTTCTAGACTTAGTCTAGTAGTTACTAGTTACCTTGTTGTTTTAACTTACTGTTTACCAGAAGCCAAGCTTTGCTTGAAATTGTCTGAACTTGAAACTGTTATAAAATAATTTAATGATAATAAATAATAGCTACGAGCAGAATTCACTCATTTCGCATGTTGCATGGAATGATCCAAAATGCATTACATTTTATAATAATTCCCAAGTATTTTGATTTTGTTTAGAACGACAGAGTATTATGAAAATGAGTGAAATGAAGGTGTTAAAAAAAGAACATATCCTCCAATGCTCTCAAAAAATGAAATTGCTATTTGCTTTGGTAATGTGATGATGATTCAGATTCTTACTAGAATATGAACCTGCAACAACCGTCTGTTTTTAATCGGATAGTAATTGTGTCACATTTGTTACTACCTGTACCTGTAGTCTGAACTGTCTCCATGTGCCTGTTAAGAATTACGCAAAAAGGTAGTGCTACACAAATGGAAAAAAGGGCCGCTCTCCTGACAAAGTTATACCTGTGCTTCAAGTATGTATTATATTATTATCAAAATTGATTCATATTTATATGAATTTATGATCTATCATATATCTTTAATTCTTATATATTACATGTTATCTTTCAGTTCTAAATAATCATGCAGGAGGGTGGGACCTCAGAAAAAACTAAAGACACCAAAGTGAAGAGGGCTAGCCCTGAAAAAGCTAAAGAGCCTGAGGCTAAAATTGAAACACCTGGCAGTACCTCAAAGGTTAGTAAAGGTTTCCGCAGTTTTCTTTCAACTGTAAAAATGACTTAACTGAAGGTATGATCCTGCATTTTATCAGTTTTTTAAAAACAGTAAATAGATAATTATTTGATTAGAATAAACCAGTTTCTGTTCAGGGCATTTTTTGTCAAAAGTGTGAAGGTGCCTAAGGCCTGTTCATTTTGTAAAAAATGTGTTATGTCATAAAACTGTGAAAAAATGACATAATGTACTGTGAAAAAATGACATAATGTTAGCCATTTCGTGGCATTTTGAAACAGGAAGCAGTGTGTGATGAATGCTTGATTATAATTTCTGACCTTTGTAAAATCTGCTTTGAGTCGGTACTTTCACCCTGTAAACATGCGCAAATACCATTTAACTTGATTAAAACTTAACATGTTTGGAATTGACAAAACTCAAGTTTTACTGGAAGGTAAGCAATGAATTTTGAAGATGAGGTCCAGATATGTTGTAAAATCTCTTTTGAAATTGTGAATTTCTTTCCGCTGCTTTGTGAAAAAGGTGATATTTTGAATTGTGAAGGGGCTGATGTCCGGCCCCTGTTATAAAAATGCTGTTTGCTGCAGCTAGATTTATAAAAGGCATTCTATATATCAGAAAGTTTTACAAACAAAAATGCATCTGTTGTTAACGTTAGTCATTTTGAGAAGAATGACCTTTTATCCAGAAAATTATTGTTTATCCTAACTTTAATACTTTTATGAACACAGAGAAAGCGAAAGGCACCTGCAGCTGCCACACCAAGTGCAGACGTAGATCAGAGGACTCCATTAAAGCGTCAGAGAGTACCTGTGCAGAAGTTCCAGTCTCCTGCCGAAGAAATTATCCCTCTTCCTTCGACATCAAAGCAGAAGGATCAGGCAGAGTTACTGCATAAGAAAGGATGTTTCCTTGGCGTGAGAGGGGAAGAAGGTATTGTATGACTTACTGTCTTCATAATTTGTGTTTTGAATGTCCTGTTGATGGTTAAAGTAATATATATCATTATGTTGTTAATGATAAGTCATATGTATAAAGTATGACAGTTCAGTTGACCTGGCTCTACTGTGTGTGTGTAAGCTGGTTGTTTCTTGATAAAGAGTTAAACTTAAGTGAAATCATCAAGATTAAAGGTATGGATTTAGGTTGTTGACATCAAAACACTGGACCGTTCCGGTTTTTCGTAGCGGAACATTTAGCCACACCTTTTCCATTCATTGCTAGGTCAACTGCTCACAAACAGTATCACAAACATAAGCACGTGTTCTTTTGTGCAAACCAGGTCAACCAGTGACTATGTATTATCTCACTGTAGCGATTGGATAACAAGTTAGCCAATTTACATAAAACTGTAAACACCGGAAAGGTCCCTTGCTAGAGGCAAGTTAGAGGTGGTGTTGGTTTCGAGCTGCTCAAAAGTTGTCATGAGAGAAAGCTATCATGCTCGCTTACAGAAAGTCTGCTTGTATATGAAATAATGTATTGAGAGGTACCTGAGGTCTTTCTATGCCTGTAAAAGTTGAAAAATCGCCATATGACCTATACTGTGTTAGTATGACGTTAAACCCAACCATGAAATGTATGATATGAAATATAGCTGGTGCAATTCTTTTTTGCATTTTCCTTGACCTAATTTTCTTTCAGAGACTGTCATTATTATTTCAGTGCTAAAATCGTTTATGCATGGTTTCAGACATAAACTGTATTTGAAATAATTCATATACTGTCTGTTATTTCTGTACTGCTAAAGATTTAAGATACTCTTTTTTTTTTTAAGGGTCTTTTTACCTGTGTAAGACGATACAGAATGTGTTTAGTAACACGAGGAAGTTTAAGATCCAGTGGTTGGATTTAACAGGGCCACCAGATGTGTATAAACTGGACTTTGCGGACAGCACTGATGCTGATTGTATACTGACCAATGTAAAGATGGAGCGTGTGGCCAGAGACACGTACAGGTAATGTCTACCTATGCTTACTTTAGCTGTTTTGATACACACAGAATATATTATACATCCAGCCTAAAATATTGCACAGAAAGGGCACCTTATGTTTTTTTCCTCCAGTAAAGCTGTAAAGTTGCTTGAAAGTAGTCATGTGAACTAACTGAACCCAAAGACCCAGAAGATAATATATAACATTACACATGTATTTTTGTCAGTGTATCAATTGCATTGTAAAGTTAAGTGTTTCAAGTTATTTTTTTAATTACATGAACACAGCGTGATTACTTTGTGTGCTTCCATTTCTCAACAAGAGAGTGGTGTAGACAATAATTTCGCTTAATAAATTGAATTGTCCTGTGAGTTGAAATTGCTTGCACCTCAGATCTGTCAAAGGATGTTGAATTGTTGTAAGAAGGCCATTCAGTTGACTTGTATAAGGTCTGTGGTTCTTCCCAATAATTGCATACTGCCAATACTTATGTACTGATTCTAATAGATATTTTTTCACCAGTAAAATATGGACAATAGTTGTATGATATAAACTTTAACAATTGATTGAAAGAAAACCCACTATATAAAGAAACATTAAAAAATTTATTATTTAAAAACAAAGCTAGAGGCATCTGTAAGTTGTGCTAGTTTTAAACTATTTAATTATCAACAATCAATTGATTTATTCTTGTATAGAAAGTGGAAAAACATAAGTTTTTGTTTGCTTTTTTTCTGAAAGGTTGATGTACCTTTTGATTTATATTCATTTATTTCTTAACAGATTACCAATAAAGGAGCAGACAAGAGTGGAAGAGATCTTACACAGAGCATTGAAGAAAGAGCGAGGTGAACCAATTGAGGATTTAGTTATACTTCCCTCAGAGTCGGAGGAGAATGAAGAAGATGAAGGTACTGTGTATGTTAAAGTAAATTTCTTGTGTCACATTTTAAACATGTATTGTTGGCGTCCGCGCCGAAGCGCGGCGCCCTTATGGAATGAAATCAGATTTTGTGAAAGGGCGACAGCAACTTCTCGAGCCTTTTAGTCGGTCATAATAAAAGCCGATCATTCCGATCGGTATGAGGGTGCTTGATTATTAATTGAGAATGAAATGTCGCGATATGTTACAATGAATAGCGAACTTGAGAATTTCGCAATGCAAATATTTTCAAATGAAATAACCTTTTCCGTCAATAAATTTGCGCTCTTCGGGGGTTTTTATTTATCAGTGGGTTATCATGGTATGTTATTGTTGTACATGTATCCTAGAATGATCAGTTGATGACCTAAATATTCCAAAGATCTATTTATAGATATATCTATTTATCACTCCTATCGGTAATTACCGGTCTCTCCCGGTCTATTTTGACCAGGATTTACTAGTGACCGGCGAATAGTACTACACGTTTATTGTCCGGTCTCTCCCGGTTTTGGAGTAGATGTTTGATATCGTTACAATTAGAAGAAAAACAACAATAGCGTGTTTCATTTTATCTATATGAGATAAAAACAATAAATATGTACACGGATTTATATGTCATATAAATCCGTGATATGTACAATAATTGAGAAAAAGGTACATTTTTATGGTATTAAAATGACATTATCAACTTTGAAACATTTTATTTAATTTGTTATCCGTGTTAAGATGCCGAGGAATTATTCAAAGTTACAAATTATATTTTATGAATTATTCAATTGATTGATAATTTAAAAAATGACAAAGAAAAATACAAATGTACATGGTTTAAGAATAAACTATATTATATATTGAAAGATCAACCATAATTTACTGACTTTTTCCAGTTAAGCTTTGACTTATAATCGTCGGTCAATATGACAATTGAATTCTTAAAATTTATTTTACAATTTTAATAAAAAAAAGAGTAGTAAAAACTCAGTATTAAAATAGCACATAAAACACAAAAAAGAAAAGAAAACAATATTCATAAAATTTGTTGGTTTTTTTTATTAAAATTAATAGATATTACAATTTTTGTATAATAAACAATTATGCTCAACATGATCAACATGGTAATATAATCAGTGTCATATTTTTACTAACTTAAAGTGTGAACAGATAGCTTATAATTAAGAGGGGGTCTTCGCTAATAGCGATAACATAATAAGGGACAATTACAAAGGCGTGGTACGTGTTGATCATGCGTTACACATGGATTATAAATGATTGCATACATGTATATCCGTTGCTATTAATAACCACGATCATAAAGAAATAACAAGTAATATTCTAATCTCTAGCATGCCAATCAAAGTTCATAATGAACAATGTCTTTCGTCCGCTCATTCATAAGTGATATACATTTCTGGTAGTTTATAAGAATATCTTGTCATCATATGTGTACTATTCATCTTCACTTGCTGCATTTCTTGCTTGGACGCCCTTTGATGCTTTGCATCAATGCTTTTCTTGTTTGTTTACTGTAACATCTTCATTTATTTTGTATGTAGTTGATGCTTTTAATTTATCTTATTATTTTGTGCAATGTAGCATTTGTAAATGTAACCATTGCAGTCAGAAAGATATGGATTTTTAGAAATATTAGCCTATTTCCATCTATGTATAATGTTTTTTTTAGCTCGGAATTAAAGCACAAGAATTGGTATGTGCAATAATTAGAAAAAAGTAATAAAAATGCACAGGTGAATGTATCAGAAGTGGTGGAATTGCATTTCAGTAGTAGTTTCTAGTTTAAACATTTCTTTTAGACAGTTTGAGGTTTTCTTTATCAATTTTAATTATTGTACAAATTATTTATAAAGGAAACTGTTAAATCTTTTTATAGACTGGGAGGATGAGACACCAAAGAAATCAAAGTCGAAGAAATCAGCATCTCCTCCTAAAGGTATTACTGTAATTAGTGGTGTCACGATTAGAAAAAATGCTAACCGTTTAAACAACGAAGTATTAGCTGTGTTAAACGTTTAACTGACCCTACTTATAAAATCCTTAGATGTTCAACATTAACTTTGTTTCTTTATGACAAGATATGCCATTTTGTTGTACTCAAAATGATGACAATACATATTTGAAAATGGTGTAACTATTTTCCACTAGGGCCGTACCGTAATCGATCAGGTCAGGAAACATACATTGCTGAGTACAACTAAAATACAAACAATTGTCATATCTTGTTAAAATAAAAGCTAAGGTAATATTTCGAAACAACTTTTAACTTATTCGCCCCTTTGTCAAATACTAATCTCGGTTACCTGTTTTTAGCTAAAAACTGACTGTACCTGTTTAAACGGATAAACATGACGCCCCTAATTGTAATCTATAGCTAAATACATATTCCCAATTACCTCAGTAATAAGTATAATTCTGTGGTGTAAATCCTGTTTTTCTTTGACGATTTTGTCAACAACCTTTGAATTGCACTGATGTTGGCTATTACATGTTACTTCATTTGCCCCTCACCGCTGTGGGTTCGAATCCCGACAGGGACTTTGGATTCTTTCATGTGAGGAAGCTATCCAGATGGCTTACGGAACGTCAGTGGTTCTACTCAGGTGCCTGTTCGTGCCTGAAATAATGCACGGAAGGGCACCTGAGGTCTTCCTCCACTAGTAAAGCTGGAATGTCGCGGTATGACCTATACTGTGTCGATGTGACGTAAAACCCAAAACAAAACAAGCATGTTACTTTATAGTGCTGTTACACAAATTAGAAAGTTTGATGCAAAAAAACTACATGATAATAATGTTCTGATTGTATTGATAGTGACTTGACGGAAGTATTTATCGAAACATGAATTTGATGGAAAAAGCAAAAATTATGCTCTTTTGCAAGTAATTGCTTGTTTCAAAGAAAAATTTTCACTTTTAGATGTAAGATTCTTTTAATTTTTTTGGAAATTGTGAAAAGATTAGTCAAAGATAGATATTACCTGTATATTAATAACTGGAAGTTGGATGCTTAGATATTCCTAATCAACATGTTTAACACATAATTGCATTTTGCTTTTCAGAGAAAAAAGTCAAGCAGTCTAAATCAGAAAAAGGTAATTTATTTCTGTGAAATTTGGCTGATAATATGTAAATAGTTGCTGATCATATTTACTTTCATTTGCCTTGAAACAAGAAGTTTTATATGATTCAATACTTCTCGTCTTGATGATGACATATGATTAGTAGCTTAATACTGCAGAGTTTTTCTTTGGAAAAATAATGTTTGGGGTCATGTGTGGTCATCTTTTAAAATTGAAGCTATTTCAATCACAACATAGTGTTGCATGAAATAATTTTCAAAAGCTTTATTGTCAGGGAAGTCAGTGATGGGCTAGAGGAATATGTTGAAGACCTCTGATTAATGTTGAATTCGGCTGGCTTGCTCAAGATTGGCAGTTCTACTTCAGTGTTGAATAATTCTTCACAAGTGAAGTTGGGAAGTTACCATATGGCTTAAAGGATAAAATATTGTTATTTGACAAAATGAATCAGTTTTCTTTGAAAAATCAAAATAAGTTCTCTTTGAAATATGGAAATACAACTTGCAGTCTGATACGGAAGAAAAAAGCTAAGTTTTTATGTATTTTCTGATTCAGGGAAAAAATCCACTACACCTAAGAAAGTGAAATCAGAGAAGAAGAAAGGACCCGACAGAAATCTTCAACCTAATCCAAAGATAAAAATTCTGGATAAAGATCCATTCTTTGAAACCAGGTATGACTTCAATTATTTGATTTCAGTATAGTGAAATAATGGCTGTACATACAGAATAGGAACAGGCTATACTTTTGGCAGATCAGGTGTCTCTAAAACTACTAACAGACAATTTCGTATTTTAATAAAGAGCAAAGCATTTGTGAAGGCTAAAGAACTCTGTTGTACCAGTTTTTAAATGAGTTTTTTATGCCCATTTCTGTGAATTTTTCTTTGTAAAGGGTATCATTTCTTCTAGAAATTCATATGAAAATGATGGCATTGGAGTTTAAAATTATTTATTTGAGCTCAATTAGGATAAACGCTTGAAGCCTATTAAAGCCCAATCCCTTGGTTATTTCCTGGAGTGTCATATGAGGCAGGTGTCCACAGCCTCAGGGTAAAGGTATACATACCCCAATAACCACAAGGCCGAAGCTTCTCCTTGAAAGTTTTACATGACTTAAATTTCAAAGCAGGTGAAATTCATTAATTTTATATGCACTGGTTATTTTGTATTAGAAAGTGATTGAGATTTCTTTTGTACAATTTATATAATAACAGATTGCCCATCCATATATTCTGTTAAAATGCTGTTGAATTGATTGTATTTTCAGCCTATATATTGAAGTATCATCCATGCCCCTTGGCCGAATCGGTTGTTTTCTGTAGGGAATTTGTTGACTTAGATAAAATGAAAACTGCAGTAATTCATATGGTTATAATTGTAATGCTGTTTCTTTTTGATGTTCAGAGAGAAAACGGAGTTTGTTTCCAAATCAAATCAAGGAAAACTGGCAATACGTGCTGTGCTTCTCAATGATAAGAAACTACTGAAGTCTCTTATTGAAGACAAGGAAACTGTCTACAAGGTAAAACATACTATTATATACATGTATACTGTTGTATTTCTTGGGTGAAGGGGTTGTTGTTGTGTTCATTTATAATTGATTAGAAAATAATAGAAAGCATTTAATATTGAAAATAAAATGAATATGTAGTGGGGAAAATATGAGACTCCAGGCAGAAGATTGTTTTATACATGTAGTCTACATGTACATAACACATGTACATTACATGTATGGACACAGTTGTGGTTAAACACATACTTTTCCATTGACATAACATTCAAATACTTTTACATTAAAATACTATTCATGATTTATATTTTTAGTGTGAGTTTTGTTTCCCAGATAAAGATTCTATCTACTCAGCATTGCTAGAATTTAATTATTTTTGTTCAAAATGGTTTTATACACTAGCTGCCAAAACCCTCGAATCTCATCACATCCAAAAAAATCAAAGGTATGCATGTTAAATGCCACCAACTGTTTGTCCGGAAAGTATTGTATTTTATTTTGTCCTGTTTCATACAGAAGGGCTACCAAGATGACTTAATGACTGTGATTTGATAAATTAAAAGCTTTGTTATATCATGTGATGTGCAACTTAGTAATGAGCTGCTTGACTTTGGTTTTCAGTTGGACGAGATGCGTTCTGTTGAGGTGAGCAAGAATGCCCTACATTATGCTATAGAAAAGGGAGACCACGAGGCTATCAAAATCTTGGTAAACGATTTCTTTGTACAGGATAATGAACGAATCGAGAAGGGGACACCACAGTCTGTGCTTATACAATCTAGTGATAAAGGAAGGTAGGTGGCAGACATTAACTTATTTTATTGCTCTTATATAAACCTATGCTTATTTTTACATTTAGTTTAAGGAGAAATGCCTAGCTTAAAGGAGAGTATCAGATTTGTAAGTCAGGGTTGGCTGGTTCAACCCTGGCAAAATATCTCCATGGCAATTCAGAGCAATTTTTTGCCAAAATTGTGAAGGGTCCTGGGTCTGTTCATTTTGTGAAAAAAGCACGATATGTCATAAAATTGTTAAAAAATGACATAATAATAATATCTGTCATATTTTGCGGTTCGGATCCGAATATACGTCCCGAGGTGATCCGCCAATTGGGCGGTAACGAGGCTTGCTGAGTTACCGCCCATGGGCGGGTGACCGAGGGACGGATATTCCGATCCGAACCGCAAACATATGTCAGTTATTTTTTCTGGCATATTCTACCATATTCCATTATATTTTATATTCTTTATCGTTATTTTCAATGAAAATTTATATCATTACAACCGTAACTACTTTCATTCAACAGCGTATGAATTACAAAATCATTCATAACGGTAAAATGACGTCATCTTTATCGTGCCATTGTACAGAACGCAACTCATCTGGAACCTTCCATGCCAGTTGAAATTTCCGGCATTGGTAAAACTAACGGAAACGCCAGTCTGATATGCAAGAATAAAATTTGCCATTTAATGAAATTTTGAAACTGGAAATGATGAAGCTTGATAATAATTTCTGTAAAATCTGCTTTGAGCTGGTACTTTAATCTGGTAAACATGCACAATTACCATATAACTTGATTAGAACTACTTACTTGTTTGCAATAGGGAAAAATCAAGTTTTACCAGAAGGTAAACAGACAAAGTCCCAAAATTTTATGAAATCTCTTTTGAAATTGTGAATTTTTTCCCGCCGCTTTGTGAAAAAAAAAGGTGCAATTTTGAATTGTGAAGGGGCCTGTTATCGGCACCTGTTATAGAAGGAAAAAATGCCCTGCAATTGAATCTCAAACATTGTGTTGTATGGTCATTGGTCTTTCACCTCTGATTCAAAAAGCATGTGGGATTAGTAGTTGATCATGTGTGGAGAAATTGGTAAATTTTGGTTATTTATCAGGGAAAGCATGTTGGATGTGAGAAAATGCAGAGATATGACCAAAAATGTGTTAAAATCAGCATTCTAACAAGACCCGCATTTTTGTGCCCCCACGTAAGTGGCGGGCATTTAGATTTACCCTTGTCCGTCCGTCCGTCTGTCCGTCCGGCCGTCCTTCCGTCCGTCCTTCCGTCCGTCCGTCCGTCCGTTCACTTTTGTGTCGCACATAACTCAAAAAGTATTTGACCTAGAGTCATGAAACTTTACAGGAATGTTGATCAGCATGTGTAGTTGTGCACCTGGGTATTTTCGTCTGGATATTTTTAGTATTTTCAGAGTTATTGCCCTTGACTTAGTAAAATTTTGCAATTTTCAACTTGTGTCGCATGTAACTCAAAAAGTATTTGACCTACAGTCATGAAACTTTACAGGAATGTTGATCAGCATGTGTAGTTGTGCACCTGGGTATTTTCGTCTGGATATTTTTAGTATTTTCAGAGTTATTGCCCTTGACTTAGTAAAATTTGGCAATTTTCAACTTGTGTCGCATGTAACTCCAAAAGTATTTGACCTACAGTCATGAAACTTTACAGGAATGTTGATCAGCATGTGTAGTTGTGCACCTGGGTATTTTCGTCTGGATATTTTTAGTATTTCAGAGTTATTGCCCTTGACTTAGTAAAATTTGGCAATTTTCAACTTGTGTCGCATGTAACTCAAAAAGTATTTGACCTACAGTCATGAAACTTTACAGGAATGTTGATCAGCATGTGTAGTTGTGCACCTGGGTATTTTCGTCTGGATATTTTTAGTATTTTCAGAGTTATTGCCCTTGACTTAGTAAAATTTGGCAATTTTCAACTTGTGTCGCATGTAACTCCAAAAGTATTTGACCTACAGTCATGAAACTTTACAGGAATGTTGATCAGCATGTGTAGTTGTGCACCTGGGTATTTTCGTCTGGATATTTTTAGTATTTTCAGAGTTATTGCCCTTGACTTAGTAAAATTTGGCAATTTTCAACTTGTGTCGCATGTAACTCAAAAAGTATTTGACCTAGAGTCATGAAACTTTACAGGAATGTTGATCAGCATGTGTAGTTGTGCACCTGGGTATTTTCGTCTGGATATTTTTAGTATTTTCAGAGTTATTGCCCTTGACTTAGTAAAATTTGGCAATTTTCAACTTGTGTCGCATGTAACTCAAAAAGTATTTGACCTACAGTCATGAAACTTTACAGGAATGTTGATCAGCATGTGTAGTTGTGCACCTGGGTATTTTCGTCTGGATATTATTAGTATTTTCAGAGTTATTGCCCTTGACTTAGTAAAATTTTGCAATTTTCAACTTGTGTCGCATGTAACTCCAAAAGTCTTTGACCTACAGTCATGAAACTTTACAGGAATGTTGATCAGCATGTGTAGTTGTGCACCTGGGTATTTTCGTGTGCATATTTTTAGTATTTTTAGAGTAATTGCCCTTGACTTAGTAAAATTTTGCAATTTTTAACTTGTGTCGCACATAACTCAAAAAGTATTTGACCTAGAGTCATGAAACTTTACAGGAATGTTGATCAGCATGTGTAGTTGTGCACCTGGGTATTTTCGTCTGGATATTTTTAGTATTTTCAGAGTTATTGCCCTTGACTTAGTAAAATTTGGCAATTTTCAACATGTGTCGCACATAACTCAAAAAGTATTTGACGTAGAGTCATGTAACTTTACAGGAATATTGATCAGCATGTGCAGTTGTGCACCAGGTATTTTCGTCTGGATTTATTTAGTATTTTTAGAGTTATTGCCCTTCACGTAGAAAATTTTTGCATTTTTCAACTTGTGTCGCAAGTTTCTCAAAAAGGATTTGACATAGTCAATAAACCTTATGGGCAGGTTGCTCAGCATATTTTAGATTTGCACCTGGGGTTTGGCTTGTGGATTTATCCAGTATTTGTAGAGTTATTTCCCTGGACTTAGTAAAAAGATTGACAGAACAGTGTCGCGGTGGGGGCACCCGTGTCCTATGGACACATTTCTAGTTTACTATTGAATATAGAAGAACTGAAAGTGTGTGTTAATATGTAATAGTCACTGTTGACGTGCTATATTTAGATATGTGACGTAATCATTATACATGTGAAGTAACCACTAAAAAAAATCTAACGCGCGATATAGTTTGTCGCATCTAAACTCCAAACAGTGATGTTATTGAGCGATAAAATCACTGTTTAGGATATATTATTTCTTAATTCAAACAAAAAAGAATGTAGTTTACCTTGTGTTAAAAGGACAGTTAATTGAAATCATATTGTTGTTATTTTGAATTTAGTACATGTACTGTAAATAAAATTGAGAGAATTTGAAAGAACTATGTGTTATGTTTCAGTTATAATCCAAGGTCATTAGGAGGACTTAGAGGAGTTCGGGCAATTTCTCAGAGCCGTGGTAGTAAGCAGGGCAATGATGCATTCATTATGGTAAGTGACTATTACCTGAAAAATAGAGAAAATAAGAATCCCTAAAGAAAACCCAAAAATAGAGAAAATAAGAATCCCTAAAGAAAACCCAACACAGCAAAATTGAAAATAATGCAGGCTCAGTTTGATTGAGCCTGTTCATGGACGGTACTGTCAAGTGCAAACTACTGTCCACGCCCTCTAGCACTGGCTTAAGTGGAATTCAACATTTAACATGAACTGGTACAATTTGGAATTTTGAAACATCCACAGATGTGTTCATATGGTGGTCATCATGGAAGCTTCAATGTGACACTTAAGTGCCATTCCATGACAAGTGGTATATAGTCCCCAAGTAAAAAAAATGTGTGTGCCCTAAACAAGAAAACAATGGGCGGAACTAAATTAAATGGAATTTTGAAAGGGGATCAGGGGTTATGAAGCCTGCATATCACAGATAAGACGTCAAAAGGCAAATTTAAAAAGCAGGCCACATATCCTAAGGGTGATTCAACAGTATTCAAGTGAGGAACACTGGAACCACCCAACAAGAAAATAGCCGAATAAATAAATTACCACAATACAACAATAATGTCATGCTAAACGATCTTTAAGGACCGGAAATATAACATCTCTGATTGAATGTACTGAGCTTTATCAGGATTTGTATATAGGTGTCTCATTGGAAAGTTGCCATATATGACATTTACAGTGTTTGTATGAATAAACAAGCTCTTGTCTAAAAACAAAAGAGATAATTAACAAAATGCAGGGAATTTTTTGTCATTTTAGTTAAGTCTAGGACATAATTTGGTCATGATGACTGATGTGTGCACATTTTGTAACTTATACATGTACTTTCATTTCATGAGTGTAGTAAATTTAACAGATCACTGTGGAAATATGGCTATTGGCTAAAATATGGCTATGCAAAAAATATGCTTTGATTTGATTAAGTTAGTTTAAGGTATTGATTGGAATGTATATACAACTTTACAATGGCAAAACTGTTGAGACGCATTGGCTGCATCCTATTTGACCGATATAGTGTGTAACAATCAGATGAAATAACAAGAATAAAGAATAATAATAGACATCATGATGATGATCTTGACCTACTTTATCATTCCTTATACATTGTTATTTTAACTTCTTGTCTTCTTAACATAGAACATGTTGGATGCCTGAAATTTATGTGAAAAGTTTACCCTAATTGTTCTGTTTATTATAGGATCAAGGGAAAGATCAACACAATTATGAGGACTATATAGAAGATGCCTTGAAGCTTGGGGCCAGCAAAGAGACCATTACAGTTCTTGCAAATGCTCTGAAAAATCAGACTGGAGATTTGGTATTTAAGGATTATTTATTGTAATGTTCTTGAACACTTCAGCTTTAGTTAATATTCTCAAAAAGAAAAAAAGTTCTAAATGTTGCTAGTTATGGTCTAGTACATAAGAAGATCATTAATGATTTTAAAAAACAAGGTGTTAAAACATGTCATAAATAACATAGTCCTGAGCTAAGGTATTTTGATTGTAGCATTGAATTGTCTAGTGGTCCTTCTATAATTCAGGACGCGTTGGGTTAAGTTTTTTTTTTAAACTTTATATACTTTTACTTCCATGAAAGACATAGCTCATTTTGGCCTCATGTCTAAACTAAGCACAAGACATTACAAAATATTGCTTTTTTGAAGATGGTAATTAAAAATATGAACTGTAAATGGAATATCCTCTATTTTGCAGATGGCGCGTGCAGTGAGTAACGTATATCAAGCAGTGTTGTGTGGAAACCGTAAGCTGGCAGGATACCTAGTTGAAGAAGGACTGAAAGACAGTTTCACAGGATTTGGCTATCTTCATAAAGATGTAAGATTTATTTATATAGGGGAAAAGGTTTCTCTATTGAAGATTATAAACTACGTGTCTATGAAATGTCACTGTGACTATAGAGTCTTCGGGTCCTTAGATAAGTATCATTAAGTGTTGAGTTTGCCTTATGGTGTGAGTTGTTAAGACATAGACCATATGAGAATGTGGTAATACTGATCATGTAAACTTTTGGAGAAACGGATGGTAATAATGATCATATGAACTGTGGCAATACTGACTGTATGAACTGTGGCAATACTAACTGTAACAACTATTGTAATACTGATAATACATACTTCGGGATGGTGGGCATTTATGATCATATGAACTCTTAGGGTGTCCATGGCGGAGTGGTTATGTTTGTTGACTGCAAACTACATGCCAGAAATAATGCACGTTAGAGCACGCGAGATCTTCCACCAATAAAGTTGGAAAGTTACTGTATGCCCTATACCATGTTGGTACTGTGTAAAACCCAGTCAGATAAACAACAAAAACATAAACTGTGCAATGCTGATAAGATAAAACTGCTGAGATGCTGATGTATAAACTATGGAAATATTGAGAACTGTTGCAATACTATCCAAATGAACCAACAAGATAGGACCATGTTAACTGAAATATATTAAAGCTTAAGTTGTTGTAATAACAGATTTTGAAATACTTATATCTTACAGGTACTAATGTTTGACAAGGAAGAGCTGAGACAAACCATTCTGGCAGCCTCAGTTAAAAAGAAGCCTTGGGATAACAAATCAGTAAGTTCATATTAATAGGTGTAAATAACTTCAAAGGAATTAAGGCAAAGGAAATGTTCATTGTTTGGCTTGATGCTTTATTAAAGTCATATTGGTATTTGTTTAGCTATAATTATGATATGAGTTAATAGCAGCCAGTTGAATCTTTTATGTTATCTGAATTCACCAAGATACGGATCTGAGTTTTTTTTCAGATTGAATACATTCCTTACAGCCCTTGCTCCATAATCAGTTCTGTTTAGTAGACATTGTAAATTATAGCAAAAATGTCATATCTTGCAATAAAAATGAAGTTAATGTTAAAAATCTTAAGAATTTTTTTCAGTAAGGCCTGTTAAACAAAATTTTTACAAGTTCACCATTTAACAAGTTAACCTTTTTTGCTAAAAACGTTAATGCATGATGATAATTTGTGTCATATGATAAAATCTATTTAAAATTTTCAATTGATTTTTTTCAGATAACACCATTACATTGTGCAGCCATTAATCCAAATGTTGCATACTTAAAGCGTTTACTTACTATAGAACCAAACATAAACTTGGAGGATCGTGAACACAGAAGACCGATACACTTTGCTGCAGTGTGCGAAGGTGTAGGACCACTAGAGTTCCTCTTAGAAAGGTATATGTCCATATAATTCTTTATAGGACAGATTTTATGCAAGGAATTGATTCAATTTGTACCATGTTCATTGATTTTAAAGGACTTGCCCTATTACTGAATTTGGAATTTTTAATTATTTATTGAGATGATTTGTGCATGAAAAGTCTAGTTTGAAATGATGGATGTTCATAGTGTATTCTGACTATCCCTAGTGGAAATAAAATTGAATCCCTAAAAAAATTTAGAATTTGAGTAGAATGTAGGGAAGAAATTACAGATTTTATGCAAGGAATTGATTCAATTTGTACCATGTTCATTGATTTTAAAGGACTTGCCCTATTACTGAATTTGGAATTTTTAATTATTTATTGAGATGATTTGTGCATGAAAAGTCTAGTTTGAAATGATGGATGTTCATAGTGTATTCTGACTATCCCTAGTGGAAATAAAATTGAATTCCTAAAAAAATTTAGAATTTGATTAGAATGTAGAGAAGAAGTTTTCTTCACTTTCCAGTACCATACTTCACCCGTTCCAGCAACTTTACCATTGATTAATTATTGATTGATTAATTTCTATCAATATTCCTATTATTGTTTGTCGAGAAAGATTTGTTGAAACTTATTTTCAAAAATCTTAAATAAGAAACATTTGAAATTGTTTACCACATGTATTTGTTTACTGAGGAAATAACTTAGTTGTGAATAAGGGAGGTAATCAGTAAATGACTATTTATATCTACAGAGGTGCTAGTCCAATAGAAGTTGATACAAGAGGTATGACACCTCTACATTATGCTTGTTCTGCAGGAAGACCAAGGAATGTGGATATTCTGCTTAAAAAAGCTAAAGAAGGTAAGCTTGTCTAGTACTGTATTGATAAATTTGTGTAAATCCTAAGATTTAAGTGGAAGTATGGCAGTAAATACTTATTTTTATCTGTTTACAAATTTGAAATTTGATAATTTCATGTGAATACATTGTTCAAAGATGTCAATTATTTATGTAAAAAGGTCTTAAGATGCTGTTCCACATCCATGAGATTGGTGGTTGCAGAGGGGTGGCCTGTATGGGTTGAGGCAATAGAATGACCGTCACCATTTAACCCTGTGTGATCGTAAGAGGCGACTAAATGAGTTTGAATTATTGGAGTCTATGCATCTCTTAGCTCCAGTAGATGAGGTGGTTACTCAAGAACGAATGTCTCTGTGAGGCCCTTAAGACTTAAAAACTTTTAAGCCGCGTCATGACAAAACCAACATAATGGGTGTGCAACCAGCATGGATCCAGACCAGCCTGCGCATCCGCGCAGTCTGATCAGGATCCATGCTGTTCGCTATCAGTTTCTCTACTTGTAATAGGGTTTATAAGGGAACAGCATGGATCCTGATCAGACTGCGCATGTGCAGGCTGGTCTAGATCCATGCTGGTCGCAAACGCACTATGTTGGTTTTGTCATGACGCAGCCCTTTTGTATCGTTTCAGCTTCAGCAAAGCAAGGAGATATGGGTCAAGAGAAGTGGGGACCTGGTGGTGTGGACAGACCAAGTCGGTCCTCATATTGCCCTGTACATATAGCAGTCAGTTATAATCATGCTGTAAGTATGTGATGTTAACATGTGTGCTGATAGGCAAGTTCTTCTGTGAACTGGAAACTGTTTATTGATATTGTGAGGGTTGTGTATCAAAATGCTTGAAGTAAGCTCACAATAGAAATGAGCCGTGTCATGACAAAATCAACATAATGGGTTTGCGACCAGCATGGATCCAGACCAGCCTGCTCATCGGCGCAGTCTGATCAGGATTCATGCTGTTGGCTTTCCAACCCTATAACAAGTAGAGAAACTGATAGTGAACAGCATGGATCCTGATCAGACTGCGCGGATGCGCAGGCTGGTCTGGATCAATGCTGGTCGCAAACCCATAATGTTGGTTTTGTTGTGTCACGGCTCAAATGTCTTGCCTGACTCAGTACAGTTGGCTTATGTAAGTCATTAACAAGTATAAATAATAATAATGTAAGATAAGATGTGCAATGAAGTAATACTTAAATGTGAGTGTCTTGTTCATATCTGCTCTGAATATTTATTTGGTAGTCTAAAACCATTTTACTCCATACTTCAATTTCATTCAGTCCCTCTGTTTAAAAGTTATAAAATATTTCTGAGTTGCTAACTTAACCAGTTATACAGTAGGTACATGTAAATTCCAGGATGTACTGAAGATATTGATAAAGCACCAAGTAGATGTGAACAAAGTGTTGTCAGCAGGGAAGAACAAGATCACTCCACTGATGATTGCTGCAGGTCACGGTGACATGGAGATCTGTAAAGTTCTAGTACAAAATGGTGCACATATTGAACAGCTCGGTAAGCTGATTGTATTGTATGTTTTAAATTAATTTTTATGTCAGGAGGCTTAATAGCCAAATGTTTGATGTAGCTGACATCAAACCACTTGCCCCTCACTTCTGTTGGTTTGAATTGAGCAAGGTACTTTGAACTTCTTCATGTGTGAATTCTATCCAACTACCTTAGGGGCCATAGGTGGTTATAATGCATGCAGGATTACCTTAGGTCTTCCTCTACCATTAAAGCTGTAAAGTCACTATGTAACATTTACAATGTCACTGTGGCTGTAAACGTTATCTTAGATGTAAGACTATTGTATATGTGATATGTATGTAGGAAAGGTCTATGATTCGAATCATGTTAACTTTTGTGTTTGTATAATTTTCTTGCTATAAGCATATGAATATGTAAGAATAAGCAATTAAAGTATAATTATTATACACAGTTAGTGGTGTTTAATTTCTAAGTTATGTTGACTTCTGTTATCAATAGTTAACACCTATTGACTTGTTTTGCAGATAAATTGAAGCGTTCAGCCCTGATCCATGCTGTTTTGAATGGTAACACCCACGTTGCCTCTTACCTGTTACATCTGGGTGCCGACCCTAACAGATGTGATTCCTCGGGGAATTCAGTTGTACATTACGCTGCAGCTTATGGCTGGTTATTCTGCCTGAAACTGTTGAAGGAAGCTGGGGCTGACCTGGGCTTATCAAATCAGTGGAAGGTAGGCTTTATCGTCTGTAAACAATAATTTTGTAAACTGTTTATTTGGGATCTAGTTTGAACCTTAATTAGCAGTAACATTCAGTCTTTTGATGATCCATTTGGACAGAAAGTTAGGAAAACTTCGATAAACCTATCTGATTTCAAACCATAACAACATACAAGAAACCACCTTTAAACAGGCTGTTAAAAGTTGTATAATATATTTTTGATGTTGTTAAGGAGCTTTAATAGGGTTCTAGGAGAGTGTAACCTGGAATTTGAACATTCGTTGTTTATCAGCAGCCTCTAGATGCCATGATGAGACAATGTCTCGTTCGTATGACACTTTTTACAAGTGACCTTTGATTACACAACACATCTGAGCATCTAGTTTTATAAACATCAGAAAATTACAACATGTAATTAGGTTTGAAATACTCTGGTTTGATTTAATTATTGAATTCTTGATTTTCATCTAGATGCTTTGATGAGACAATGTCTCGTTCGTATGACACTTTTCACAAGTGACTTATGATTACACAAGACATCTGAGCATCTAGTCTTCACTGAAATTCCATTAAGGTTTGAGACATTAACCTCCTGAATTTGTGTAAAGGAATTGCTGAGCTTTGAATTTGACAGAGTGCATTAAAGAGGGATTTTCAGTATAGAGCCTGATACTGGCTTAAGTTATGGAAGTGTTTAGTTGGTATTCAACAGTCTTGTTCAACATTTAAGTAAGAACAGTCCACTGTTTGCAGCAAATATTATACAATGTCATGTCAATACACTTTTGGTATTGGCATAAATTTTATTTCATCAATGACATAGTTAATGGATGCATTGATGAGAGAATGTCTCGTTCGTATGACACTTTTTACAAGTGACCTTTGATTACACAAGACATCTGAGCACCTAGTCTTATATACATTGGATAATTACAACATGTAATTAGGTTTGAAATACTCTGGTTTGATTTAATTTTTGAATTCTTGATTTTCATCTAGATGCTTTGATGAGACAATGTCTCGTTCGTATGACACTTTTTACAAGTGACCTTTGATTACACAAGACATCTGAGCATCTAGTCCTCACTGTAAGTCCATTTAGGTTTGAGTCCTTAACCTCCTGAATTTGTGTAAAGGATTTACATAGCTTTGAATTTGAAAGAGTGCATTCAAAGGTAAAAAGAGATTATAATGTATTTAAAGATAATTTAAAAAATAAGATTCAAATCAGTATACAGCCTGATCAGACTGTTGGACATGCGTGCTGGCCTGGTTCTATACTGGTAGCAAAAGTTCCAGTACCAGTAGGGTGCTTCAGTGATATTCTTAAATGGACTGTTTCTGCTTTGAGTTATTGGGTCAGGCTTTTTAAATGTTTTAATACTGGCTTAAGTCAGGGAAGTATTTTGTTGGTATTCAACAGACTTGTTCAGCTTTGAAGTGAGAACAGTCCATTGTTTGCAGCCAATAGTATACAATGTCATGTCAATACTCTAAGGTATTGGCATGAATTTTATTTACACAAGTACATAATTTATGGATGCCTTGATGAGACAATGTCTCGTTGGTATGACACTTAGTACAAGTGATTTTTATTGATTACACAAGACATCCAAGCATCTAAGTTATATATACATAGGATAATTACAGCATATTAAGTTTGTAGTACTCTGGTTTGATTGTTCATCTTGATGCATTGATGAGACAATGTCTCGTTCGTATGACACTTAGTACAAGTGACCTTTGATTACACAAGACATCTGAGCACCTAGTCTTATATACATTGGATAATTACAACATGTAATTAGGTTTGAAGTACTCTGGTTTAATTTAAAATTATTGAATTCTTGCTTTTCATCTAGATGCTTTGATGAGACAATGTCTCGTTCGTATGACACTTTTCACAAGTGGCTTATGATTACACAAGACACCTGAGCATTGAATTAATTTCTCTGAACCACTGTTTAAATATAGAGCTTGTGGTTAGTTTCTGTCAAGTTATACCTACTTATTTAAATCCTAGATGCCCTGATGAGGTAATGTCTCGTTCGTATGACACTTTTTTTTTAAAGTGACTTATGATTACTCAAGACATCTGAGCATTTAGGTGCGTGTTTTTATTCATTGTTAATTTGGAAGTGACTGCAGATCTTTCATTATGACTTGAATGCATGTAAATCTTAATTTAAAAAGTGGGAATTTAAAAAATGTATATAAATTAAATCTGTAGGGAATCAGCATTTGAAAGGCTGGCAGAGGAAGATAGTCATGGCATTGAATGATATTTTAAAACCTTAAAACTTTACATTTTTGATTAACAGTATACAATTAATTTGTCTCCAGATATGTCTTTCAGTGTTATAGTTAGTGTTTTACTTTGACAGTATTTTGTAGTTTTAAAATGCCATGATGAGACAATGTCTCGTTCGTATGACACTTTTTACAAGTGGCTTATGATTTCACAAGACATCTGAGCATTGTATTAAGTAGATTGTTTAAGATTTAAGTGTCAGAATTGTTTTCTTCCATTGAAAAAGTAACAATGAATATGTAGTGAAACATACTCTTTTCAGAGAAAAAAAAAATTAAAAGATACATATGTTTGAGAAAATTTGAGAAAATATCAATGAATAGACTTCTTAAGATATGTGTGCCTTTCAATCAATGGGTATTAAAGTGACATTATGCTCATAATTTCATAATAAAGTTGAGCTGAACTGACTATATATTTCAAAATATTGACTGTTTAAATGGTAATTGACCAACAATTCATATTGGAAAATGTTTTAGATAAAATTTAAAATCTGCCTAAAATATAAAAAGACTGACACACTCTTTTTATGAACTGAATGTTACAGGTAAATTCTAATGGATATGTACAAAAAAATCATTTGGATCCATGCGTCGTTACTGTTTGTATTAAAAGGAATTATGGCAAAATGAAAAGTTATTTTGACTTTCACCCATTCACTCTTGAATACGCTTGGACTTGAATGCTATACATAAATTAATGCATATACAAACCTCTTTCAATAATTATTGGCAAATTTGACAATTTCATTTCAGACAACACCCATTGGTATAGCATTCCTAAAGGGACATATTGGTATAGTAGACTACCTGATCAAACAGAAAGATGTGGACATCAACTTTAAAAATGATGAAGGTAAGAGACATGGAGTATCCATAAATTATGTATAAGCATTAGAACTTTAGGATAATAAATTTTCTTTTGGAATTCTTGTGTTTTTGAAGAAGAAAAAGTCTTCTTTTTTTTCTTTTTTCTTTTTGCAAATCACAGAATTATCGCCCCAAAAAAAGTTATTTCCCCGTAGAAAGCAAAAATCAATTTTATATATTAGTTGCATGTAACTTTAAAGTATAACTGCTTGAGCTATGAACTTTTCAAAGAAAATTTTACTTAATTGAATACACTTCAGAAGTTTGGCAAGTTCATCGGAAAATTAGTGTTATGACCCCAGATTTAGCAAATTTGGACTTTTTGTCATATGTTACTCCAAAAGTGTAACTTGCACCAGTAAATGTACAGGATTTTTGTGACAATACAGTGGAATGTGAGGCCAAAGGTGTAAAGAATTATTATACCCCCAAAAAACCAAGTTTGGGGGGGTATATAGGAGTCACCCGGTGGTTGGTCGGTCGGTCGGTCCAGACATCCTTTGCATTTTCCTTGTCCGGAGCATAACTTGAAGACTAATGGTTGGAATTCAATACAACTTCATACAATGGTCAAGCACATTGAGAGGAAGTGCAGTGCACAAGAACCATAACTCTATCTTCACTAATTACAGAGTTATTGCCCTTTGTTACTTTTCCTTGTCCTGAGCATAACTTGAAAACTACTGGTTGGAATGCAAAACAACTTCATACAATGGTCAAGCACAATAAGGGGAAGTGCAGTGCACAAGAATCATAACTCTATCTTCACTAATTACAGAGTTATTGCCCTTTGTTACTTTTCCTTGTCCTGAGCATAACTTGAAAACTACTGGTTGGAATTCAAAACAACTTCATACAATGGTCAAGCACAATAAGGGGAAGTGCAGTGCACAAGAATCATAACTCTATCTAAAGTAATTTCAGAGTTCTTGCCCTTTGTTACTTTTCCATTGCTTTCTTTTGTCCGGACCATAACTTGAAGACTAATGGTTGGAATTTAATATAACTTCATACAATGGTCAAACACATTGAGAGGAAGTGCAGTGCACAAGAACCATAACTCTATCATGACTCATTATAGAGTTATTGCCCTTTGTTACTTTTCCTTGTCCGGGGCATAACTTGAAAATTGCCCTTTGTTACTTTTCCTTGTCTGGGGCATAACTTGAAAACTACTGGTTGGAATTCAAAACAACTTCATACAATGGTTAAGCACACTAAGAGAAAGTGCAGAACACAAGAACCATAACTCTATGTAAAGTAATTACAGAGTTTTTGCCCTATGTTACTTTTCATTGCTTATTTTTGTCCGGAGCATAACTGGAAGACTTATGGTTGGAATTGATTACAATGATCAAGCACATTGAGAGGAAGTGCAGTACACTAGAGCAATAACTCCATCTTCACTAATTACAGAGTTATTGCCCTTTGTTACTTTTCCTTGTCCGGAGCATAACTTGAAAACTACTGGTTGGAATTCAACACAACTTCATACAATCATCAAGCACATTAAAAGGAAGTGCAGTGCACAAGAACTATAACTCTGTTAAGAGTTATTATTGAGTTACTGCCCTTTCTTTTCCATTGCTTTTTTCTTGTCCAGAGCATAACTTGAAAAGTACTATTTGGAATTCAATACAATTTCATACAATGGTCAAGTATATTGAGAGGAAGCGCAGTTCACAGAAACCATAACTCTTTCTTGACTCATTTAAGGGCAGTGAGATGAAGTGCAGTGCAGAAGAAGCATAACTCTATTTTGACTCATTACAGTTATTGCCCTTTGTTACTTTTTTGTCCAGTGCATAACTTGAAAACTAGTAGTTGGAATTCAATACAACTTCATACAATGGTCAAGCGAAATGAGAGGAAGTGTACAATAACCATTACTCCATCTTCAGTATTTGTAGACTTATTGCCCTTTGTTCCTTTACCTTGTCCGGTGCATAACTTAAAACTAATGTTTAGAATTCAATGCAACTTCATACAATGGTAAAGCACAATGAGAGGAAGTGCAGTGCTCAAGAAGCGTAACTCTTTCTGGATTTATTACAGAGTAATTCAATAAAACTTCATCAATGGTCAACCATATTGTAAGGAAATTTAACATACAAGAACCACAACTATCTTTAATTGCCCACAACCATAACTCTATTTCAATTCTTTAACAAGGTATTCTGTTACCTGTAACTTCCTCATTTCTGAAGCAGTCTTGTGGGGGTATTAATCACATTTAGTGATAGTTCTAGTTTTATTTTGTAAAATTTCAGGTTTAACACTGTTGAGTGTGGCCACTAGTAGTCCTCTGACACCAGGATTGTATGATCAAATCAGATACCTGACAGATAGAAAGGCCAGTCCCTCTATAAAGGATGTGAATGGATTGAATGCTGTAAGAAATTTTCCTGGTGATCTGAATATGAATCACAATCTATAATGTAATAAGTAATATGTATTGTGCTTTTGAATTGTATATCACGAACATCCAGTATTGATATATTTCTTGTATCGGACACAGTAGTATTCTTAAGAAAATGTTCTATTAAAGGGACTTAACTGAAGTTTTTTTACATTACTGGACAAGAAATAATTGTTCAAGATTGATGTCCTGTTTAGTGTAGATCTAGACCGGTAACTTGTATACAAAATTTCGAATCATTCACTCTTTCCGTTTTTCCAGAATGACTATTTTATTTGTGAAAAATGACCCAAAATTGGAAAGCGTAGAATTGCTTTTCACTCAAATGGAACTAAGAATAGCATAAAAATACGATTTTCATTAAAAAAAATTCTTAGTAAATTTCTTAATTATATTTCGAAACAAAACCTTATTGTTTTAAAGCAGCATGCCTCCAGATTCATGCTAATTTTCATGAAAATTTTGAATGTGTAATATTGTGAAGTAAGTGACCAAAAGGAAGCAATTTACACATTATCAATGGCACTTGCAAACCACATTAATTGCCAAAAAGTGGTCAAAATATGCATAAGTAGCCTTAAATGCGTTAGTAACACGGTAGAAATATTCACACCTAATGTGTAAAATATTATTTGAATCTTGAAACTTTTTACTTTTCCTTTCATCTTTGTTCATTTTTCTCAAGTTTGATTTAATTGAACTATTTTGACTCATCTGAAGGCATGTAGCTTTAAGTGCCCCAGCTAATCTATGTAAGAAATTCAAATTTTGTTTTTAGGCTTTTGGACCTCAGTGGAGTTCCTTTAAGAACAGACTTTGTTTGACTCATTAGGTATATTTTCTTTGATCAATAGTTGTTTGTGTTGAATTTGTGTTAGTATAGAGATTTTAACAGTTTTATTCTATTTTCTATAGTTACATCATCTGGCCAGGAACAGTATAGCATTCATACGAGTAAATTATGGTTGGGGCTGGCAACAACACATACAGGTACTTGTTTAATTTTCCAGACATTCCGAAAAGTATTTGGACATTACTGGACATTCGGTCCAGCAATCTTTGAAGAATCACTGGACCGAATCAGTTTTCCCTGGACCGAATGGAAATCAGAATAAAGACAATTTAAATATTTTACCTTCAAAATAGCATAAAACACTCATTTCTTGTAGTCGCGAAAACTAATAATTTTCCAACCTGAAGTATTTGTTCACATGCCGTACCGTAATAGGGATATTACAACTAAATTTTTTAATGATTTTACCCTGTTAAGTTCGTAATGGCAAATAATGAAAATTATTGATTTGGAATACGTAATACTAATAATTATCTTATCTTAATTCTAAATATTATCTTGAAGATTGTTTATGTAAAAGTTGAATGTAAAATCTTAAGATTGTTACCGAACAGTTGGACTATCTCAGATGGAATTTTTCCCTGTCTGAACAGAATGTTACCAGTCCGGTCCGTCAGACCGGCACTTTTCGGAATGTCTGATTTTCACCGGCACTTTTCGGAATGTCTGATTTTCTTTAATTTTTTTCAAGGGTTTCTTTTAGATGTACCACAGTGGTAGAAGTTACTTTGAATCTCTTGCTGTACATAGTATTTCTTGTCAACATTCAGTATTTTGATTCTAAAATCCCTAGTCTGCTAATGGACTTATTAAAATTTATGAAAGAAAAGTTCAATATACAAAATGGTAGGTACAGGGTAATGGTTTATCTTAAGAGGCTTGGATTTGATTGCCTTGTGACAGAGTTAAAATAAACTTCATCATAGTCAAGCTGAAATAAATATGTTTTATCAATACTAATCAAATGAGACTGGTTTGAGGTTTAGCACACTATGAGAAATGAAATGTTCAGAATATTTTTTGAGAAATTTTGTAAACCTCGGGGGAACAATATATATGTCTGATTGTTGAAAAATGTATGTTGTTAAGGCTTTGATTACATATTTGATTATATATTATTTTGTGTTTGTCATAGACGAATGAAATAGATGAAGAGAAAATGGACCTAACAGTGAAAATAGCGAAGTCTTTATTGGACGCTGGTTGTGATCTGACAGCTGAAACAGAGGATGGTAAAACTGCCCTCATGTTTGCCATAGAACAGGTAAATTTTCACTATTCCATTATTAAGTTATGTCTTGAAGAACAAGTTGCTTGACAAATTTAAAATGCTTAAAACCAGACTTTAGTCTCTTATAAATGATGTATATGCTTGTCTGTATGGTTCGTTCTGGTGGTGAGGGTTAATAAAACAAAACGTCACACATTCTGAGTTGCACATTGGTCTTGATTTAGGGGGAAAACTTGTCTTTTGTAGAGATATTCATTGTTATTATCTGCCTTTGTTACTCCATATGGAACAGAGATGCTTTCTTAACGGGTTACTTTTGAAAGGTCATGTTATGATGTGACATCATGTCCAAATAGGCATCCTTTTTTTTTTTTGCTAATATGTAATATGAAATAATGAATTTACCAAATAAAAGTTGTGTGTTGTAAGAATATGAGCAACAATTGAAAAATGAAAGCTATCACAAATGATAATTTTTACATTATAATTAATGTTAACAATTTTGTACTAGTTATTTTTGCACTGAAGTTTGGAACACCATTCTTCCATGGGATTTCGAAGTCTGAGTCTGTCTAGTCATAATTTAAAGCTGATCCATCCCTATTACACATGCTGCCATTATGATCAACTGATATTCAACTGATATTAAAAAGGGTTTTATATTCCAGCTAAACATTAAGTTGATATTTTGGCTATGTTTTTCAGCTGAACATTAAGTTGATAGAGTTTGTTAGTGGAAGCAGGTGCTACAGTGACATCACACAAGTCTGATAGTGGCAAGACCATTCTTCATCTGATGTCAGACCTGTGCATGGACTCTGATCTTAGTGGTATACTCAAGATACTGGTGGAACAGGTAACATAAATCTTTCTTACTGTGTATTATTATATTGTTAGGCAGAGTTTGCACTGCTGATGCTCATTGTTGCCAAATGTGACAAAAAATAAATTTTTTGCTTGCTTAGTTTTATTATTTGGCAAAAAACTGGCGGGGGGGGGGGAGTAGGGGGACAAAATAAATTTTCTTTTAAAGATTTTATCATTTGGTTGAAAATTCTTTGGCAACAAAAAATAAAAACCTAATCTTGCTGTAACATGTTTGACCATATTGGAAATCTAATGGTTCTCAAATTTAATGTGTGCTCTGCCAATAATAGATGATACCTGTTTTCTCAGCAAATATGGGGTTGTCCCAGATAATTGTTGTCAAAAATAAAAGTTTCAAAAACATGGTGAATAGAAAAATATGGGCAACATGTTGATTGCACCAACTATTAACTGTAGTACATTTGAAGTTTTAGCGGTAAAAGTTTGTACTTCGAAGAAACTCTCATTAGACAACTAGAAATATGTGGGGTATATGTGTAATTGTATAACAATTTTTGTATCCTGACAAATGAGATTAAGAATGTAGAATATTAGATTCAAGATGTACAATTGGAAGATGACTGTTTAACTTTTGTCATCAAAAAAAAAAATGTTGTAAAGGATTATGATTTCATCATTCCAAGCTTATCATAAAAAAATCATAATGTGAAATAAGTGTACTTAAGATAGAAGCTTACTGTTCATGCACATTTCAGAAACCCAAGTATAAAGAGGCAAAGACAGTTAAAGGGAGTGATAATAAGAAGGTTGTTGTAGAGAATGGTGACATTGTAGAGGAGGATAAACCAGAGGCAATGGAAACTGATGGTGATAAACAGTCTGATAAACAGAAAACTGACAGTGATAAACCCAAGGAAAATGGTTCAGGGGATTCTAAAATAGGTATGTAAGTTAACTTTATCAATGAAATGTCAGTGGTTCTATACTGGAGCTAAATGGGTTCCAATTACTGGAGTTAATGCATCTCTTAGCTCCAACAGGTGAGTTGGTTTTGACCCCTGGTGTTGCTTTAAGTTTGTAACACCCAAGGTAAGCGGAAATCATCTTTCCTGTTTTGGCGCCATATGACTGAATCTTAGATTGTGTGGCTTAAAATCAAACAAAGCATAAACATTAGCTCACTTGTGCCTAATAATGCACTGAAGGGCACCTGTGGTCTTCCTCCACCAGTAAAGCTATAGAGTTTATATTACACAATATTCACATGAATGTGAAATAATGAAGTTTTCAGAATGGTGCCCATGCTCTGTGAAAAAGTAAATAGACCACCTGAGCAGGTCCTATTGTCAGCATAGAGACTGACACAAAACTTGTGCCTTATTGCGTATATTTACATTATTGAAAGAAAAAAAGGCAAAAATAGAATGTAATACCTTTACTAGTTTCATGACTGATATTCAAATTTATAAGGTAGTTCTATCGATAGTGTTATAGTGACAACTATACATGCATGTTTCTATAAATAGATGCTGTAAATGGTATGGAGGTAGATGAAGTAAGCCAGCCTAAGTTAGAGAAGATGGCATCTATAGCTTCTCAGGAAGATATCTGGCCAATGATGGCCACGGAATATGATAATGATGGATACACACCTTTACTCTGGGCATGCAAAATATACAGGGACTTCAAGGTTAGCAAGATATATGTACATGTTATTCTTTATTTTAGCAAGGTATTGAAAAGGTCAATATTGTACGAAAGATTGTGTCATCACTTTTGAATGAAGACGAAAAACATATGAGCCGTGTCATGACAAAACCAGCATAGTGCGTTTGCAACCAGCATGGATCCAGACCAGCCTGCGCATCCGCGCAGTCTGATCAGGATCCATGCTGTTCGCTATCAGTTTCTCTACTTGTTATAGGGTTTGTAAGTGAACAGCATGGATCCTGATCCGCGCAGGCTGGTCTGGATCCATGCTGGTCACAAACCATTATGTTGGTTTTGTCATGAAGCGGCTCATATAAGTATATTTACCTGGCACAATAGACTCAATAAGCTTGCTTTTATGTTATACTTATAAAGAGTTTTGAGCAGTTATCCCTTGTAATGTCACAAATTTTCTTAGATGACAGATTTGAGGTGTTATGTTTTGATATTTGATAATAGAAGACTGTCATCAATTATTTTAAAATACATTAGACCTGAAATTTATATGGTTCTTAATAGTAAAAAACATATTCATTCTTTTATTGAGTAAAATTATTTTATCTGTAGGGCATCAAAAAATGTGCTTAAAAAGACTAAACATTCAAGTTATATGTCAATTTTAATTACTTTATGGTGTACACGACTTCATCCTTTGCCATAAAATGGTGATAAATATAATCATCATAATCAAATGAATGTCAGTTTTGATAAAACTTAACAACTGGGGTATGAAAAATCTGAGAGCAATGTAAGGATAAAACCTGTGGTTTGATATTTGAAATGAAATTTATTTATAACGTATGACATTGCAGTTAAATACTGTTAAAAAAACTTGATTTTTGCAGAAATCTGGTACAATGACCGATGCTGATGTAAAGAAATGCAGCGAGAATGGCCGTAAGTTTATTCAGGCTATGATAGAGCTGACCGGTGCCGATGTGTCGGCTACAGTTCACGAGAAAGTCTTCCCTGCTGATCATAAAGTAGACACAGAGGAGGAAAAATATACAGCAGATGGTAGGTATATTTGATACAGTTATTTTGTTGGAATTAACCCCAAAAATGGGCATGTGACTGTTGTCTCCATTCTTCTTTAGGCCATCCTTAAAAAAATGTTTGTTTGCAGTAACCCGACCCAGAATTTTCAAGGTGGGTAGGTAGGTCGATTTTTTTTATTTATTTTTTTTTTTTATTGAACTGTACTCCCAAATAAACATGGAATTTCAAAATGCTGGACAATATATGCTTTGATAATCTGGTAACAATTAATAATTGAATTCTAATTTAATAAGAACTACATTTTATTTCTTCTATTAACCTTTAAAAGAACGAAAACAAAGCACAAGCCATAATTTTCTGATTCAAAAAAAAAAATTTTTTTATCCAGACCATGAAAAAAAAATTTGAGTAGGGGCAAATTTTGTCAGTCTGTCGCGTTACTGCAAACAAACATTTTTTTAAGGATGGCCTTAATAATATTGAAAGTAGTTGATCTGGTAGCAGTACTGGTGTGGTTTAAAACCCAAAATGAGCAGATAAGTATTAATAAAAATACATTATGCAGTTTTGTTGTAGTTTTACGTGAATATGTAAAGTAATTCTACCAGTTCGCTATGAATGTACTTGTAATAAAGTCAACTAATTAAGCCACAGTTGGAAATAAAATAAGAAACACTGAAAAATATAGCTTTGTTTATTCTCGGCTCAAGAAGCTCAGGGCATTTTTTGTCAAAATTGTGAAGGGGCCTGGGCCTGTTTATTTTGTGAAAAAAAGTGTGATATGTGAAGGAAAAAAAGACATTTTACTTGGCATTTCGCAACTTTTTGAAACCTGAAATGGTTTATTATAATTTCTCTCCTGTGTAAAATCTGCTCTAAGTTGGTACTTTTACCCGGTTAACATGCGCAAAAACCTTTTTTCTTAATTAAAACTATTTCTGTGTAATTACAATAGGCCTAAATCAAGTTTTACCGGAAGGTAAACAATGTATTTCGAAGACAAAGACCCAATATTTTGTGAAATCTCTTTTGAAATTGTGAATTTTTTCTGCCGCTTTGTGAAAAAAAAGTGCAATTTTGAATTATGAAGGGGCCTTATATCAACCCCTGTTATAGACGGAAAAAATGCCCTGAAGCTGTGTAAAGTTTTGTTATATTATCTGACTCAGGGGTTCAATTTTAAAAGTTTGTTGTACTGGTTCTATATTTAAAGAAAAGTTTCTTATTGCTAACTTGGTGTGATTTTTATTCTACAGGTAAATTCTCACCTTTACACATGCTTATACATGTCGGTCACGAGGTTACGGAGAGTTTGAACTGTGCTGGTCTCCGCCTGATCTGCCAGTACAAGCCCAACACGGAACACAGAAACCTAAGTAACCAGACAGCATTGGCATTAGCTGTAGAATCCAAATGTGCTAAAGCGCTAGCAGAACTAGTGAGTATAAGACTATTTCTATTTTTCTATACAGAAAGTTTGAGCTTCAGGATTGATGGAATTGTTTTATGATTACTTGAGCATCTCCATATTATTTTTTATATTTATTATGCCCCCATTTTGAAAAAAAGGGGGTATATTGCTTTGCACTTGTCGGTCCGTCGGTCCGTAGACCAAATGGTTTCCGAGTGATAACTAAAGAACCCTTAGGCCTAGGAACTTCAAACTTGGTATGGTGATTGGTCATGACCAGTAGATGACCCCTATTGATTTTGGGGTCAAGGGGTCAAAGGTCAAGGTCACATTGACCTTGAAAGCAAAAAACGGTTTCCGATCAATAACTAAAGAACCTTAAGGCCTAGGAACTTCAAACTTGGTATGGTGATTGGTCATGACCAGTAGATGACCCTATTGATTTTGGGGTCAAGGGGTCAAAGGTCAAGGTCACATTGACCTTGAAAGCAAAAACGGTTTCCGATCAATAACTAAAGAACCTTAAGGCCTAGGAACTTCAAACTTGGTATGGTGATTGGTCATGACCAGTAGATGACCCTATTGATTTTGGGGTCAAGGGGTCAAAGGTCAAGGTCACATTGACCTTGAAAGCAAAAACGGTTTCCGATCAATAACTAAAGAACCTTAAGGCCTAGGAACTTCAAACTTGGTATGGTGATTGGTCATGACCAGTAGATGACCCCTATTGATTTTGGGGTCAAGGGGTCAAAGGTCAAGGTCACATTGACCTTGAAAGCAAAAACGGTTTCCGATCAATAACTAAAGAACCTTAAGGCCTAGGAACTTCAAACTTGGTATGGTGATTGGTCATGACCAGTAGATGACCCCTATTGATTTTGGGGTCAAGGGGTCAAAGGTCAAGGTCACATTGACCTTGAAAGCAAAAACGGTTTCCGATCAATAACTAAAGAACCTTAAGGCCTAGGAACTTCAAACTTGGTATGGTGATTGGTCATGACCAGTAGATGACCCCTATTGATTTTGGGTCAAGGGGTCAAAGGTCAAGGTCACATTGACCTTGAAAGCAAAAACGGTTTCCGATCAATAACTAAAGAACCTTAAGGCCTAGGGAACTTCAAACTTGGTATGGTGATTGGTCATGACCAGTAGATGACCCCTATTGATTTTGGGGTCAAGGGTCAAAGGTCAAGGTCACATTGACCTTGAAAGCAAAAAGGTTTCCGATCAATAACTAAAGAACCTTAAGGCCTAGGAACTTCAAACTTGGTATGGTGATTGGTCATGACCAGTAGATGACCCCTATTGATTTTGGGGTCAAGGGGTCAAAGGTCAAGGGCACATTGACCTTGAAAGCAAAAACGGTTTCCGATCAATAACTAAAGAACCTTAAGGCCTAGGAACTTCAAACTTGGTATGGTGATTGGTCATGACCAGTAGATGACCCCTATTGATTTTGGAGTCAAGGGGTCAAAGGTCAAGGTCACATTGACCTTGAAGGCAAAAACGGTTTCCGATCAATAACTAAAGAACCTGTAGGCCTAGGAACTTCAAACTTGTATGGTGATTGGTCATGATCAGTAGATGACCCCTATTGATTTTGGGGTCAAGGGGTCAAAGGTCAAGGTCACATTGACCTTGTAGGTAAAAAACGGTTTTCGATCAATACCTAAAGAACCTTAAGGCTTAGGAACATCAAACTTGGTATGGTGATTGGTCATGATCAGTAGATGACCCCTATTGATTTTGGGGTCAAGGGGTCAAAGGTCAAGGTCACATTGACCTTGTAGGTAAAAACGGTTTCCGATCAATAACTAAAGAACCTTAAGGCCTAGGAACTTCAAACTTGGTATGATGATTGGTCATGATCAGTAGATGACCCGTATAGATTTTGGGGTAAAGGGGTCAAAGGTCAAGGTTACATTGACCTTTTAATTAAAAACGGTTTCTGATCAATAACAAAAGAACCTTAGGCCTAGGAACTTCAAACTTGGTATGGTGATTGGTTTATGACCAATCAGATGACCCCTATTGATTTTTGGCGTTAAGGGGTCAAAGGTCAAGGTCACATTGACCTTGTAGGTAAAAACGGTTTCCGATCAATAATGAAAGAACCCTTAGGCCTAGGGACTTCAAACTTGAGATGGTGATTGGTCATGATGAGTAGATGACCCCTATTGATTTTGGAGTCAAGGGGTCAAAGGTCAAGGTCACATTGACCTTGAAGGCAAAAACAGTTTCCGATCAATAACTAAAGAACCCTTAGGCCTAGGAACTTCAAACTTGGTATGGTGATTGGTCATGACCAGCAGATGACCCCTATTGATTTTGGGGTTAAGGGGTTAAAGGGCAAGGTCACATTGACCTTGTAGGTAAAAATGCTTTCCGATCAATAACTTAAGAACCCTTATGCCTAGGAACTTCAAACTTGGTATGGTGATTGGTCATGACCAGCAGATGACTTATTGATTTTGGGGTCAAGGGGTCAAAGGTCAAGGTCACATTGACCTTGTAGGTAAAAACGGTTTCCGATCAATTTACTAAAAACGCTTAGGCCTAGGAACTTCAAACTTTGTGTGATGATTGGTCATGACCAGCAGATGACCCCTATTGAGTTTTAGGTGAAGGGGTCAAAGGTCAAGGTCACATTGACCTTTTAAGTAAAAACGGTTTCTGATCAATAACTCAAGAACGCTTAGGCCTAGGAACTTCAAACTTGGTATGGTGATTTGTCATGACCAGCAGATTACTCTTATTGATTTTGGGATCAAGGGGTCAAAGGTCAAGGTCACAATGACCTTGTAAGTAAAAACGGTTTCTGATCAATAACTAAAGAACGCTTCGGCCTAGAAACTTCAAACTTGGCATGGTGATTGGTCATGACCAGCAGATGACCCCTGTTGATTTTGGGGTCAAAGGTCAAGGTCACATTGACCTTGTATGTTAAAACGGTCTCCGATCAATAATAAGAGAACCCTTAGGCCTAAGAACTTCAAACTTGGCATGGTGATTGGTCATGACCAGCAGATGACCCCTATTGATTTTGGGGTCAAGGGGTCAAAGGTCAAGGTCACATTGACCTTGTAGGTAAAAACGGTTTCTGATCAATTTACTAAAAACGCCTAGGCCTAGGAACTTCAAACTTTGTATGATGATTGGTCGTGACCAGCAGATGACCCCTATTGAATTTTGGCTCAAGGGGTCAAAGGTCAAGGTCATGACCAGTAGATACTTTATAACCCTTATTAATTGTTTGATCACTGGGTCAGAAGTCATGCATAATAGCCTTATCACATGACTAATTGGCTGCAGATAGGGGGCATACATGTTTTACAAACATATCTTGTTTAATCTTGAAAATGAACATAGCATGTAGGCTATATGAAACAATCAATATTTTAGTCCGCTTCTACCAGTATTTGGGGGGTCCCGGGGTTTTGGGAAAAATTTAAACAAAATTTCCTTTGAACAAAAAATTTTACTGGGTTTTAAACACAAAAAACCCTTTTCGGCTTTAAACCCCAAATTAAAAATCTAAAAATTTTTTAACCCAAAAAGGTTTTAAAGGGAAAGATGTAAATTTACATATTTAGAAAGTCATTTCCTGAGTTGTGGATGGAGGTATGAATCACCTTTAGTGATAACTCTAGTTCTTTGCTGTTAACAAGTGATGACTTGAACTGTATTTGTTAAATCTCTGCATGTTTTAGTAATGTTTCATTCCACATACATGGATTACATGTATATTAAATCTATTTCCAAAATTCCTACTACCGGTATGTTAGAATTTTGAAAAGTTTTGAAAAATTGTCAATACTAGGAAGCCATAAAGTTGGCTCAAAGCAAGGCAAGGGTAAATCTAACTATATAACCTGTTACCAAAATTCAAAAATAAAGTCTAACAAAAAATGATTTACTTTGTACGAGCTTGATACCAATTTTCTGAATGGTCATATTTCAGATCAAGATTGGTGCCGACCCCAATACAGTATATGGTTTGGAAGCTACAGGATTTTTCACACCTTTACATAAGGCAGCAGAGTAAGTTTAGTGATTTCAGTCTTTGGTTGTTTCAGAGTAATTTGTTTTCTTTTAGTTACTTTTTGATTGATCTTGACCTACCTGACATAATTTGAGGGCTTTTAAAGGTTAATGAAATGTATTTTAGCTTGTAACATATATAAATTGTAAATCAGTTAAGTTAATTGGCTTATATGATCTTGCATAAATTCATAAAAGATTTAAATTTACCAAATTTCTACAATTTCAGTCAGTCTTCAGTGCAGATAGTAAAGATGTTGATAGATGCTGGGGCTGATGTCAAGAAGCCAAACTCTAAAACCGGAGAACAACCCTTAAACCTGGCTGTCCATTATAGAGGTGATACTGTACATTCTCATTTGAGAGTTTTTGCTGATGTAAAAATATCAATTATAAATTATAAATAAAGCCATGTTTGTTCAGTTCTTTCAAAAAGACTTAGGGGGGATATTTAATGGTGTTGTTGAGGTAAAAAGTTATTCAACCAAATAATGAAATGAATATAGTTGTTTTACAAAGTGTTTATTTTCATTTAGGTGATGAGGCCATTGTTATTGAGATAGCTAAGTTATTATTGAATGCGGGGGCTGAAGTCAATGCCGGTAAACAGCCAGCTCTTCACACTGCGGTACTGGCTAATCTAGGGACGTCAAATGCCAGTACAGAACTTGAAGAGTTTCTTATTTCCCGAGGAGCTAACGTTTTCGCTAAAGATGAGGAAAATAGATTACCACTTCACTATGCATTTATATCTAAAAACAAGTAAGTAAAACTCTGGATTCCGTGTTATTTTTTAGGTATTTTATCCTTTCTGAATACTGATGACTTGGTTGTATGTGTGGAAATAACAATGAAACATGAAATTCATCTAAATTACTCGGGGGAGGTTGGAAGTTGCCTCAACAGAATGAGAAGTTCTATCTTATATCTCATGGAATGAACACATCAATGAAAAAATGAGTTACAAACTTGTTTCTATTTTAAAAGTTGACCATTGCACCATATATTAAATTTTTGTAATGACTTGCCTTGCATTGAAATTGGTGTTGTACATAGAGCATTTTGTGGATTTTAATGTTAGAATGTGTTAGTTAAGTAACAATCAGTATTGAGTTGGTTTAGACTGTATGATTCTGAAAGGTGACCTGGCTCATTCCTGGTGGCGCAGGCAAGTTGGCAATCCAGGCACAAAGCAAAATTTCTCTGTAACAATTGAACTAATGGTAATTTATCTTGTAAATCATGTGTGATTATTTTTTAGTAGTCACTCACTTGTGCAGAAATCGGTAATTACTGGTAAGTTATCCAGGAAAGCAAGGTAGATGGACTGATTTTAGAGATATTGCAAAAAGGAAAGATATGTAAAAATTGTTGAGAAAACTAATCAAACCAACATGTCGTGATCAGAAGAAATATAACAGAAATGAAAATTCTGCCAGGTAATAAAAAATTAGTTTGATTGATGGTTTCATTTACAGAGTAAAACGATAAGTGTAAATAAAAAGTATAAATGTAAAGTATATGTTAACATTTGTTTGAATTTATTACAGTCCAAATTCTGTGTCAGCCTTAGACCCAATAGAATTGTGTAGTGTACTCACAGATGCAATGGATAACAAGGAGTTAGATTCTCGAGACAAGAAAGGAAGGTCTCCGTTACATTTAGCTGCTATGAGAGGGGCAACCATCTGTTGTATTCATTTACTACAGGTAACCTAAGCGTAATATATGACATAATTACACTGGAGCCGCGATATAGCGCTCTTCGATATAGCGCTAATCTCAGTAGAAAGCTCATATGCCTTGGCTCCCCCCCTAAAATTTATCCACTATAACGCTTGTTCAATGTGTCAGTCAAAAGCAATAAACAGTCAGAATTAAGTCACTCATATTCAAAAGGTGTGAAGTCATACACAGGTAAGCGTTAATCCGCTCTTTTGTTCATTTTGAACTGTTGATCAGTCAGGTATCAAACTGTTAGCTAAGACATGCAAACACCGAAGAGTTCAGTTAATCACACAAGCGTACAATTAATTTAAAAAAGCATGCACTTTCGATCTATCGGCAAAAAAGTTGTTGGAGATGACTGACTTTTTCACAAAAGACAGTAGGAAAGACGATTAATTTAGTCCCATCAACTAGGTATCAATTTTCATGACGTTAACACCATTGTTTTACTGGAAATTTATAAACAATTATACATTTGTGGTTTATATTTTTAATTCGTAAATTTCATGTTTATATTAAACATATTCAGTAATGTTATACAAAATAATAAATAATAATATATAAAAAAAGTTTGGACTGATATCCATTGATAGGTAAGTAAGCAATCATTTCCACTAACAAGCGTTATATGTTTCGGCGGTTGGTGGGGTAATGCGTTACTTTCGCTATAATTACAAAATGAGCGTTATAAAAAGTTACTCGTTACAACGCTGTCTTCAGATCATGGACCCCAACATGAGCGCTATAACGGAGCTCCAGTGTATATGCCATATATACCGGCACATTATTTCCTATATATCAACTGGTGTGAAACTATTTTTATGCTTTAAATTACGATTGTCTTATGACTATTGTTTGTACTTGATAAAAGATCTATGATCTTTATTACTACGATTTATTAAGAAAAGAATATGCCGCTATATATTGATTAAGATATGTTTTAAGTGAGGGGGCGTCAATGGCCGAGTGGTAAAAGTGAATGACCACTGCTGTGAGTTTGAATGCTGACAGCGACTCTGAATTCTTTCCAGCTAGCTTAAGGAATGTCATTGGTTCTACACTGTTCCTGTTTTTGCCTGAAATGATAACCAGTAGGGCACCTGAGGTATTCCTCCACCAGTCAATCTGGAGATTGTAAAGAGGCTATATTACCTATACTGTGTTAGTGCAACGTAAAATCCAACCAAAAAAAAAAAATGACTGCCTAACAACTATGTAAATCTGTTTCAGAGAGGTGTGCCGATCCTTGCTACAGACATTATGGGCCATACAGCATTATCATTAGCAGTAGATTATGAACATGACAGGTAAATAGTTGTAGTGATAGTTCAATAGATATATAATCCTTTATTAACCAGGTTTTCCGAAGGAAAAATCTGGTTATTAGATTGAGGTATGTCGGCGGGCGGGCGGGCGTAAACAATTTCTTCTGTGCGCAACTCCTACATCTCTCAACGGATTTTGACCAAACTTTCACAGAAGCTTTGTCATCAAGCGCCCTGGTGCATATTGTCAGGGTTTTGTGATTGGATAATATTTGACCTAATTATGGCCCTTTGTTTTTTTCCATTATATAGAATATATAGTGAACAATTTCTTCTGTGCGCAACTTCTCCTAAATTTCTCAAAGAATTTTGTTCAAACTTTTACAGAAGCTTTGTCATCAAGTGCCCTGGTGCATATTGTCAGGGTTTTGTGATTGGATAATATTTGACCTAATTACGGCCCTTTGTTTTTTTCCCTTATATAGAATATATAGTGAACAATTTCTTCTGTGCGCAACTTCTTTTAAATTTCTCAAAGGATTTTGTTCAAACTTTCACAGAAGCTTTGTCATCAAGTGTCCTGATGCATACTGTTGGGGTTTTGTGATTGGATAATATTTGACCTAATTATGGCCCTTTGTTTTTTTTCCTTATACAAAATTAAAGTGAACAATTTCTTCTGTGCGCAACTCCTACATTTCTCAAGGAATTTTGTTCAAACTTTCACAGAAGCTTTGTTGTCATCTAGTGCCCTGATGCATATTGTTGGAATTTTGTGATTGGATAATTTTTTACCCAATTATGGCCCTTTGTTTTTTTCCCCTTATATAGAGTATATAGCAGGGTTTGAATTTAAGCTGGCATACTGGCAAAATGCCAGTTAAAATCTAATAATACCAGTAAAAAATACTCTAGCTAGCATTTATTTGCAAGTGACTGTTCATTTTGGACGTTTACATAATTGTTATCTTCTGAGCTGATGATGATGCTTGGCAACTGCCCCCTGCAGAAACTGATGATGTTTACTGTGCCAGATGCAGTAACTGATGATGTTTACCTTAAAAACTTAAAAATCAATTTTTGGTTGCTCTATTTATTTTTCTGTTTCTATATTTTGATGGACTTTTTATAACAGCCAAACACTATTGGTTAGAGCATCCAAGATGTTATATCAGGGTCCAATGTAAATTTGTAGCATTCCTCTGTAAAGTGTTTACTTTTAAGCTGAAATAGTAGATCAGTGCCTCTGAGTTTTCAGGCTTTGGTGTAATCAAGTACAAAATATCTTAAAATTAATGAAGGTCCTAATTAATTACATAACATGAACAAGTTTATAAATGTACATTGGCACCAGTGGGTGTTCCTCTGGTATATCTAATCTGATCCCTAAACAATTGTTTATGACATTTATAAATTAACGTGTTCAAATGTTTTTGTTTCGTTACAAGAAGACATCTGTGTTTACCAGTAAAAAAGATGTTTCTGATATTCAATAGACATTCAAACTTATTATCATTTGTCATACCAGATGTTCAAAATACGCATAATTTGTCATTGTGTATTATAAAAATCATAATAATAATAAGATACGTGATCATTGAAATGCCAGTTGACTACCTCATATTGCCAGTTAAACATTTGATCACTTGCAAAAATCTGCAAGTAGAAAATTTTGCTAAATTCTAACCCTGTATAGTGAACAATTTCTTCTGTTGCCCAACTGCTTCTACATTTATCAAAGGATTTTGTTCAAATTTTCACAGATTAGCTTTATCTTCAAGTACCCTGATGTGTATTGTCAGGGTTTTATGATTGGATAAGTTTTTACCTTATTATGGCCCTTTGTTTTTCCATTAGTGTAATATATCCTATTAATCACAACAGACTTTATTTAGTTATAAAACAGAAACTATCTAGGTTGTTGCATGCCTGCCAGCTCATCTGCCTGCTTTTGGGTCATGTAGAGTCAAGGTCAAGGTCATTGTTGCTAAAAATAGCAAATCTGTTTCCAGTCAGGTCACTGTTACTAAAACTAGAAAATACCATGTTTCTTGTTTAACTTGCTAGAACGTAAAGTGATTAGCCTTTACAACCAGAATAGAGCCTTTAATGTGTGGGAGCTAACTGGCTGGCTATTTAAAAGTCTGTGGATGCACTCTGGTGTCAGCAGTGGGTAAATTAATACAATAAATCAGGGGTGCCGGAAGTACACTGAGTCACCATTTAAATTACTAAGAAAGTTGGTCATGTCCATTTCATAAATTAGGCCAGTGGCCTTCACTTTATATCTTGTATTTACATTGGTCTTTGCTGTATTTTATATAAATAGATACCAGCATTAGCAGCACTAATTAATGAGTATCATTGAGAGAAATTTCAACCATGTGTGTGTTCTATTTTTAGCTGTGCAATAATGTTACTACAGAAGGGAGCAAAGGTGGATGCTACCATTGTAGAACTGGTAGAGAAAAAAGATCGCAGAGAGTACTATACTTCCAGCATTACATCAAAGAAACTTCCCATCTGGAAATGGAAACGCTCAAGATATGCAGACAAAGTGGTGAAACCGTACCATTTTGATACATACCAGGTAAATGTTAGATATACTTGTTCTTGCTAACTTGATCTGCGTGTGGTTTAAGCATTCGTAATTTACTAGTCTACTTTACTCAATGGTGAGAGGATTGGATTTGTGATCCAGGGGTCATGTGTTTAAGTCTAGGCCAAGGTGAATTTTGAGTCTAGTGGCCATTTATCTCTCACTGGTGAATCAGAAATCATGTGGGGCTAGTAGTTGTCAATTGTAGAGAAATTGTCAATTACTGGTTAGTTATCCAGGGATGCTGGTTAAATGGACATTCTGCTCCAAGCTATGACCAAAATGTTTTGAAATCTGTGTAAAACAAAGAAAGAAATACTACTATTTGTTTATTATTGTTATTACTTAAATATAGAGCATTGTCATTGAAAATGTTAGAAAAATACACTTGTTATATGCTCTAATATTTTACAATGATTAAAGTAATTTAACATTGTTCTAAATGATTTTTATGCAGTTTTAAATTTTGGTTACAGATTCTCTTAATAAAGCAATGAATATTGTGGGAATTAAGGTTTGCTGCCCTTGAGGCACTCCCACCAGTCTCCCTAAGTTAAGTTGTACACTTCATTATTGTAAATTGAATTCTCTGTATATTACAGTTTGCTATTGAAGGAGAATTACAGGGTGTTGCCCATATGATTCTAGATGCCTCGGGACTCACTGGAAAGGCTGTTGAGGTTTGTATACATTTAGGTTATGTCTACCTGGTTATACTTTTAGATACATTAAAACAAAGAAAACTATACTGCTTTGAATTAAAACAAAAAAACTATACTACTTTAATTTCCCTTAACATCAATATTTATGACACTGTTTTGCTCCAAAATTATGAAGAAATGTGGCTTTCGTATGATACAATTCCAAGTTTTGGAAAAAGTAATATTTTTTGTAAAATATTAACTTAAACATAGTTAAACCTGTGTTTGTTAAAAATCACCTCTAGTAAATAAAGATGACCATGTAAATAAAGGCCACTCTTCAACAACCCTTTATTAATAAGTAGAACAGCATCACGTGTAGATAAAGACCACTGTTTATAAATATCATGTTTGTCCTTTAAGTGGCCTTTGATAACAGGTTTGACTATAATTTAGAACAGTTTTTAAGTGATTACTGACTGAATTTCATTGAACTAATGGGGTGTAATGATACAACAATTTGACTTTCATAAAAGTTTTAAAAGAATGTGTTGTTTTATCGCTATTATTAAAGAGTGTTCAAAGAATATGTTGAATACAGATTTATTTCTGGATCTTGTAGACAGTCATTGAGTTATAATTTAAACGAATCTTCAAAAATAGTTTAGAGGCATAGTTTTTCGCAGGGTTTTCATATTTATCTGAGGCAAAAGATGTTCCAACGAAAACAGCCGATTTGGCCATGGGTGAAGGGGGGATATTTTAATGTACAAGCTGAAAGTACAACCAATTTTAACAGCATTTCAACTGATTATATGGATCGCCAATCTGTTAATATTGAAAACCTGTTTCTTTTGCATGCAAATAATTATTATGTCTCAAAGAAGGGCAATTCTAATTGATTTGAATGTTTTTCACAGGCTGCGTTGAAGGTGAACAAATACCACATTGCTCTACGACATCTACATCGTATAAAAGACACGGCTATCATCAGAGATTACAAAAATAAAGATGGTCAGAATCTGTTACATATTTTGGCTCTCGAAACAACCCCTGGTAAAGACAGTGCACTTCAGTTAAAGGTGTGATGAATCCTTGTTTGTTTATAAGTATTTCTAATAAAAAAACATTTTAGTTTGTTTGTATGAATAAAGATAAGGTTCACGTATTTTCATTTCTAAAGATTCAAGATGTAAATGTTTCCCACTCTCTTTTACAGTATAATGAGTATTTTGAAATAATATTGTTTTAGAACAAAATATTTAATCAGGCTTTAAACCACATGCCCATCACCAATGAGGTTTCCAAAAATTCCCCAGGGATTTTGGATTTTTCGATGTTAGAAAGCTATCCAGCTATATGGAAAATTTTGATTCTACTTGATGCCGTCTCACGCCAGGGACTGTTTACACCTAAGGGTCAGTTGGTCTTACTCCACCAATAAAGCTGGATAGTCTCCATATGAATTTAATCAATATTGGTTTAGATGTGACTTAAAATCCATCAACAACAAAAAATTCAAGTTACTGACTTAATGTGGTTAGAAAATTACACAGTAACTGAATCTGACTTTGCATGCTTCATATGAGAAAGGTGTTTCTCAACAATTGTAATTGAAAGTGCTAGGTTATGATTAAGTTTAAACAGTTCAACAACTTATTTACATTTAGGTTGCTAAAGCTCTAGTAGAGAAAGGCGTGTCATTGACTGCTCTGGACAAGTACAAAAGATATCCCTTGGTTTATATTGCTTACACACATCAACCTATAGAACTTGCTAAATATTTCCTAGGTAAGTACTAATTTGATTTTAAGACTGTTGTACAGAAATAAGTCAGTTCTCCAGAAGAGGGTTTTATTAAACAACATAGGAAATTGAAGTTGAAGTGTTTTACTATGTTTTGGATTGTTAGCTTTCCAAAATTTGTATATTTCAAGATATTTTCCAGAAGGAATGATAAAGTCATTAAGTTCATCCATGGGAATCTTTGTGGATGTAACAAATGTTAATTTCTTAAGAAAAGATGTTATCCAGACCTCGGCACATGTTGGTTTTTCCATGTTTATCCACGGGTACAAACAAACTTCAAAGCTTTAGGGTACACCACCTGTCACAATAGATTACTCGATCTTTTGCGCATATTGTAGAAGTCGTAAAATTGTTTGAACCCCGGTTGCATTAATCTTATTGTGCCCCCACTTTAGTGGCGGGCATTTAGAATTACCATGGACCTTCTGTTCGTCCATCCGTTCTCTTTTGTGTCGCACGTTACTCAAAAAGTATTTGACCTAGAGTCATGAAACTTTACAGGAATGTTGATTAGCATGTGTTGTTATGCACCTGGGTATTTTCGTCTGGTTTATGTAGTATTTTTAGAGTTATTGCCCTTGACTTGGTAAAAATTTGCAATTTTCAACTTGTATCGCACGTTACTCAAAATATATTTGACCTAGAGTCACGAAACTTTACAGGACTGTTGATCAGCATGTGTAGTTGTGCACCTGGGTATTTTCGTGTGGATTTATTTTGTATTTTTAGAGTTATTGCCCTTGACTTAGAAAATTTTTGCAATTTTCAACTTGTGTCACATGTAACTCAAAAAGGAATTGACATAGAGTCATTAAACCTTACGGCAAGGTTGCTCAGCATAATGTAGTTGTGCACCTTGGGTTTTGCATGTGGATTTATCCAGTATTTGTAGAGTTATTTCCCTTGACTTTGTAAAAACTGTTTTATTATGTTGTGTTATTTGTTCCTGGAGTGCTTGAGTTAGAATCAACCAACTTTACAGGAATAATGATCAACATCACTTGCCCTTTTACTTAGTAAAAGATTTTTAGTTTTCAACTTGTGGTGTGGGGGCACCCGTGTCTTATGGACACATTTCTAGTTTTCGGGTAAATCTATTGTCAGCATGGTAAAATCTTAAGATCATAATTTGTTACAGAGAGTAGTGTCAATCTGGACTTGAACAAGAAAGATGTGTATGACAGAACAGTTATGGTAGCGCTGTTCTGGGACCAACAATCGATCCACAATGAAAAAACAAATAGAAAGTAAGACTATTGTATTAACCTTACAAATGATATTGATCATCAGTGTATGAACACATTTGCTGATGTTTCTACATTTCAAATATCACCATTGTTGTATAAATGTTGAATTCTGCTTAGTCAGTGCCAGTGGGATACTAGCTTGCACTTGCCTGTTCTTTATGGGACATCCATGGCTGAGTGGTTGAGGTAGTTTACTTCAAACAACCTCCCCCGCACCACTGTGGGTTTGAAACCTAACAGGGACTTTTGATTCTTTCTTGTGAGGAAGCTATCCAGCTTCCATATGGAACATTTGTGGTTCTACTCATATGCCCGTTTGTGTCTAAAATAATGCACAGAATGTAACCTTAGGTCTTCCAGCAACAGTAAAGCTGGGAAGTCGCCATATGACCTTTTCTGTGTTAATGAGACATGAAACACAACTAAAAAGCAACAAACAAACACACTAGCATCCACAAATAGACGTAAGCAAAGCCAGCCTGCATCTTTTTCTATATTGCAGTTTTTTGGAACTCTAATTTTTCTATTCTAAGTCTTGCATATATTTTGCGAATGTAAACTGGAGTTATGACATTAGTTCTGAAGTTTAAAAGGACTATATTCGCCATATAGTAAACTGATTAATGAACAGTGAGAAGTTAAAGTAAATGAAAAGAAAATCGAAAATCTTGGAAATATTGTTATTTAGAATCTTGGAAATATTGTTATTTAGATAATACATTCTGAAAATAATTTTATTCACTTGGTAATGTCAGGATGAGTGAGCTAGGCCTATCCGCATATATTCACAATCTGTATAGACTGTTGTTTGCAATGATTTTGAAACTACCAAAGATGGTTCCAAAATTAAAGCAGGACATTACAACTAATTCAGGTGATAATTAAGAGTTATGTTAATTTTCTAGGGCTTACATTAAATTGCTTTTGGATGGGGGAGCAAGTCTCGATGTTGTGTACACGGTACAGTGGCCAGAGACACCATTGTTTGATGTAGCCATCGCAGACTTACCGTTGGACTTTTTCGAGCCGTTAGAGCACTCTGGACGTCTAACTCCACTTATGTCAGCATTGTATAATAATGACTTTGATCTTGTGAAATTTCTGTTGAAAAATGGCGCGTCTTCCAATCTGCCCGATCAAGATGGAGTAACACCCATTAGCATGCAAGCAAAACTGGTTTGTAGATTATAATAATAAAAGAAATTATGTATGCTTTTTTAACAATTCTTTGCTATGGCTCACTGCAGAAAACAGACATTGTGATTGTCTATTGGATTATTACTAAATATTTGATCTGTTTACAGTTGAAAACATGTATTCAACAAACTTAATGATTTTGTTTTAGTAATATTTGTAGAGAAATTTTTGAGCTTTACAATGTATGTTTTTGCTTGTAGATTTATTTTTAGAAAAGAAAAAAACAACTTTCCAAAATAAAAATATATATATATAAAAAAAACTTTCCCAAAATCATTTTCAGTTGGGAAGGTTTTTTCAGGAAGCATTATGTAATAATTAAGCTTTATATAATCAGAAAGTACATTTTATTCATAGATGCGTATTTCCTTAGTTTATTCACGATTTCTATTTCCACAGCATGATGCAACACTTGTACGAGTGTTACTGAACAATGACTATGTGGAACCAGCTAAAACAGATGGCTCGAAAACAACACTGAAAAAGAAGATATCTCGAGCCGCGTTTGAAATCAAAACCTGTAGGTGGTGTGATGATGATGATGGTGGTGATGATGATAATGAAGATAAAGATTATGATGAAATGATGATGAAGGCGAAGGTAAAGCTTTGAAGGCATATCTAGACCTATTTTAATTGTTGAGTTTTTATAAAGTGGCACTTTATTCATGATAATACAGATAGAGGCAGGTAGAGTCTTAAATTTTGGATGCTATCGTTTGCCTTACATGTTTTAATTTCCAAATAATCTACATGAATTTTAGTCCATTGCTGAGTGTTTAATTTGTCGATTTAAATCCAATTGCTTCCTTTGGTGTGGGGTTTGAATTCCTCCCAAGGGACCTTGATTTTCTTCATGTGAGGGAAGCTGTCTGGCTAGTTTAAGGAATGTTGCACAACTTTACTTTGGTACATACTTCTACCTGAATTAAGACAGAAGGTCTTGGTTCACACCAGTAACCTGGAAATATGAGCATTACACGTCATTGTGATTTGAAATCCAACAAAAAAAAAAGGCAACATTAAATGTTTTCCTGCATGTTTGGTATACACATTAATGTAATAAGTCTGCAGAAGCTTTGCAGTGACTGAACATAGGGGGAAATTTAGTTATTATAGATGAAATTGTGTCAAACAACTGTCATCTTTAAATCTAATGGCTTATGATAATTTTGGAACTAAAAATTGTTATTCATTAAATTTAGTGAAGCATGATACCTTTAAGGGGGAAAAAAACGACAAGAAAAAGAATGAAAAATCTGGTTTTATACAGCAAAGGGTTGAGATATTAAATACTGAATTTCCTATCTTTCAACAGGGGGAGATAATTCGGAGATGAAAAAAAAAAATGAAGAGGAACTAGAGGAGGAGCCTATTGAGGACTCTGACCAATGATACAGATGTTGTTGATGAGATGATGATGATGACAACGCCAACATTTGCCCATGACCCAGACTGGGCTCCAACAACCTTCTATGAGAGAAACAGCAACAGTCTTCTGTCAAATAAAGGTAATGTGGTCACCAAATTTTGAATTGAGGAATTATAGTAACGTATTTGATTGACAACTTAAGCAGACTGATTAAAACTTTAACAACAAGATTTAAAGAGATTTAGTTAATGGCAATATTGAATAGTTCTGTTGACTGACAAAGGAGGAGAAAATTGACTGAATGATGATGAACTTGTGACATTAGGTAGATAGAATAGTACATTATGTATAAGTATTTTAGATTTTAACATAAAATAAACTGCATGGTATGTTGCAAAATGGCAAATTTGTGAGGAAAGCTATTTAGGTGCCTTACAGAAGCTTCATTGTTTTACGTAAGTGCAGCTTAGATATTGTGTTGAGGTCGTTCTTTAATAAGGATTAAAACAAGTGTATGAAATAAAAGTGTGAATGAAAAATAATTAGTGAGTTTGTGGTAAATCTCAATTTTCACTCAGTAGAACAGGGCCCAACTCTAAACTTCGAAAACACTTCTCATTTTATGTGATAAAAGCCAAAAATTACCATCTCAAATAAAAAATGGACCATTTCGGTAACATTTTAATTGACCCATTAAGCTTAAATTTCTCAAAGTTACTCAATTGGCCATATAGCTGAGCCATCTTTTGCTTCTTTTTAACATTTTGGCAATTAATACAGTTATAGCATTTAGTATTTTGTAATGGCAGTCAAAATACAATTTTGTTTACATTTTGCTTGTTTTTATCACAAATTGCTTTAAAATTCATTGCTATTTTTAAGGTGATATAGCATGTTCACCTCACGTGTTTTGGATCTGTTTATTGCAACATTTCAAGACATACTTTTTTTGTTTTCTACAAAAATAAAACTAGATTTATTATTTCTGAGACTTTGTTTGACCCTTTAAAAATGGACATGATTAATGCCCTTGAAAGAAAGAGGCATGAAGTATCACATTATTATTTTGTATTTTTCTACAGATGATTTTGAGAGTTGTGGAGAAGACAAGTAATGTAGATCTTACAGTGACCGACAAGTTTGGCTGGACGGTTATACACCACCCTCGTCTCACCATTAGACTATGGCACATTTGATGATGAAGAGAGATACTCTATGTCTGGCAAAACGGCTGGAGCTCCACTCGTCACAGAGAGTAAAGCGGGGAGAAACTTCCTGCGAAAATGGCGCTGAACGAATTTGGAGCTAAAAAGTAGCCAAGTAGGTTGCAGGCGGTTGCTGAATGGTGAAGAAGATAAAAGGTTAATACTTTACTTTAAGCCTTTGCCACACTAAATGTCCTAAAGTTGACTTGTTCATCTTTCATTTGGGACTATAATTGTCATTTATGAGAGTTGAAACCAAGTCTAAATTTGTAAGATTATACATAAATCACATTTTGAGACAAGTATATCTATACCTGCATCCAATTGGCATTGATTTCTATACTTGTTTAAGTGATGTATATATTTGCATAATTTTTCCTGTACCTTAACCTGCTGTCAACCACAAGTATTCTTTGATACCCTAGTATAAGACCAGGCCAATCTGCATGTCAATCAAAAGCAGTCTGACCATGCTTTTATACTGTAGAAAGGTCAATTTTCTATCTTGATATAAAAGTCCATGAAAAGAAAGCTCTTTGCTTCAAAGCCTGGTGATTCCTTCACAGAAATTCAGTAGGTTAAGGGCTAAAATTGTGTTTTGTAATGTGTATGTCCTTGATTCAAACCCAATGCCTTTTTCTGCAGGAGACACCAGTTACGCCTCCATTCGCATGCCCCTACTGAGGCTGTAAAATAAGCTAGCGGAGGCGAAAGCGAATATGTTTGAAGCTGACGCTGATTCTATGATAAAGAAACTGATACCAAGTGATGCAGAGGCAGCTAAAACCAAACCAAAACCTAAAGTTGATGAGCAGTGTATGGCAGCTGATACAGGGTAAGATATTGATCATACTAAGAAATACAACAAAATTTTCATATTGTTAAAAGACATTTAAAAGAAATAAAGAAGTTTGAGAATAGGGCATAAGACACTGCTAGCGCCTCGTCCAATAAAGTTTTGAGTTGCATACTAGTCCAATAGAATTCAGTATTGTACTCAACAATGTATTATAACCTCATAATATTGCCCCCCCTCACCCCTTGGCAATTAGCCAAAAGTGTCTTGTTTGGTGTATTTTGTTGATGCTTTCATTAAGTAAATATTTTGATATTTTCAGGGAGGTAGTGTTTGACAAGGAGAACAATCGACCTTTTGACATTATTCTATCAAAGATAGAAGTGAGAAGCCCTTCTCAATGAACACTTAATAACTTTTATAAGATGCAGATAATCTATCACAAAAGTCAAGGACATTTATGTTTTCTGTTTACAATGGGGTCGTATCGGGACGAGACGGGCATGTACCAAGAAACACTCCGTACACAAACGTTTGGCTGAGGCTACGGTCCTCATTCTCTAAAATATTCAAATCCAAGACTGGGAATGCATGGTCAGATTTAAACAAGTGAGTATGCATTCTTGTTTTTGTTATGCACTTTCATTAGAATTATGTTTTATATGTTTCTTTAATCTATTGTTTCACGTTGTATGTATTTGCCCTCAAGGGTATAAAACATTTTTCTATGTTCTGTCTCAAATGTATATCCTCATTTATCATAAACCATTGCTGGATTTCCTTTAAAACTTTACGCATGTCTTTGAGATCATAATTGTAGCTTACTGTCCATATCTGTTGTCTGAATTTTTGATGAATTATTATCACCCTGTTAGTGATTTACAAATCCTTGAATGTCCTTTCTTTTGGTAAGAATTCGTTGAGTGCCCCGTCTGTGTTACATTTGTTGTAATTGACTGTACATATAAAGTGGGATAACTTGTTTCAGTTTTGAGAACCAACCAAAAAAATACCGCTTGGTAGAGCTAGACAACCAGCCGTCACCAGTCTCAGGGTTGATTCAAACTAGAGTCAAGCAGTCCATCAAAAACTACTCAGGGGAAGGTGCAAGATTTACTGCTGAAATGGTAAGTATATTGAAGTTGAGATTTTGACATCTGCTATCAGGCTTTTTTCCTCTATAGGCAAGGGCCGGTATAGGGCTGCTTCCCCAAAGAAAAATTCTTTAAAATCATGCAGTTTTCCCCAAAAATTGAATTTGCATTGAGTTTTTTCGTCCCCTTTTGCAAATATACTGTGTAATTTTCCCCCAAAATTAAGGACTGGGCTGCTTCCCAAATCTGTGAAAAAAAGCCCTGGCTATGAGGACCTTAAAGTGTCTTCGTAACCTTTAAAATGATCTTTCTAACCTCAAAAGAGAATTATTATTGATTCTTTAGAAAGGTTAAGAGGTTAAATTACTGTTTGGTGATTTGACATCTTGGAAATATAATGATGTCGGGGGAAATGAAGGGAAGTCTAAATATTGACTATAAACAAATCCAAAGCTAATACCCTTTTTTCAACTGGACGAGACGTACATAAAATGTTTCTAATGATAGTATGATGATAAATTAACTAATATATGTAGCATAAAAAGGAAAGAATGAGAATTGATTTAAAAAAAGTTATTTATTATCTTGTCTTCAATTTTATAACATATTTGACAACTTTACTATTTCTTCATTGACTTGAGTTCATGATAAATTGTTTTAAAATGAATCTTTAAATTGTTTAATTACATGGTTTTATTTGGAGTGGGAAATTTGCTAAACTAATTTGTGTGTGTGTTTGTATAGGTGACTAAAGCACCGACGCAAATAAATAATAAGGTAAAAAGAAGAATAGAATGGATCTCTGTCGTATGTTTTACAGGCGATGTTGGATGATGCAGGCAGCTTTACGGAATGCCAAGATGGCCGAGGAGTACATGCCATTTGGTAGAATAAAACGAGATGTATTAATAGAAGCAAGAAAAATATTACAGAAAATTGGGTAAGTAGTATTTCATTAGCCTCGCTTTTTGAAGATGAAACAAGTGCCCAGTACTGACCATGATCAGATGGCAAAGATCATAGTCATGGTCTGTACTGTTGGCTGTTCAGTCAGTACATATTTTGAAATTTACCTAATTAAGTAAATAAATGATCTGGTCCGGATTTAAAGATGGATAAGTCCATTTAATATATCTAGGGTAGAAGGGGTTAATACACATGGTGATATCAATGTTATTATTGATGGTTATTATAAATTAACAAAAGGATGATCTGAGATTGATTCTGGGTGAGGACTTTATAATTTGGGAATTTAAGATTTTGTTATAAGGGAAAGAAAGGAGAAGTATTGTTACTGCATATCAGCAAAGAAATTTAATGTGCCTTTTGGAACCAGCACAATGTACAATACTGAAAAAAAAAAAAAAACGTAATAAAATTCCAAGCAAAAAGAATTATTATCAAGGAATTCAGCCAATTGGTATGAATTAAGAGATATCTAGTATATATATTTTTTTAAATAATATTCTCGATATTTCAGGGATATGTGTAGAAAATAGATAAAAACAAAAGCAATTAGCGTTTGACCAAACAGAACATCAGACAAATTGTGAAAAGGTGAGCAATTTCAATATAATGTTGATGTTTGAATGAAAAAACATTATTTGAACCGGCTTTGCAGTGAGCTCCACTTAGTTTTGCGCACTTTTGGTGTAAAGTGGCTGTATGTTGCACCGCCGGCTTTGTTTTGGTAGATCTAAGGATTGCTGGTCCGCATGGTTCGGATCGCGAGTCGGCAAGCAAGTCGTTTATTACTTTCATTGCTTAGTAACTAGCTTGGTTCCAATGAGCAGATAATTTTAAGAGTGTTTTCAATAAGATAATAGCTTCCAAACTAAAATAAATTTGTATAAAACTAAACTGTTTTAATGAGAGTTTGTATTTAACACATACAAATGAATATATTACAACTATAATTAAGATCTCAGCGTTGTCAACAAGTATTTATACATCCTGATGCCACAGAAGGGTACTCATACGACAAGAATAGAAACCGCTGGATTTGTAGATCTCGTATAAAAGGTCGAAATGAGATTAATCTCCAACCTCTCGATCTGAAACGCCAGTAAAATACTACTTGGAGCACAGTATAACCTCACGTAAGCAGAAAATTACGTAATTCTGGTTCCCCCCAAAAAGTTGGGTGTTTTGGTTTTTCCAAAAAAAAAAAATGCAAATTGGTTTCTAAAAATTGGTAAATTTGTTTTCCCTTTCAATGGCAAACAGGAAAAGATGCTTACTATTTGGCCTCCAAATTTTCCAGAACAATGATGCTCTACTCCGCACGATAAGGTCTCTTCCACTTGGTAAAAGATTCCCTACAATTTTGACAGTTTTTGGTGTGACTGGAAATAAAAATTAAAAACATTCAAGACAATGTATAGATAAAAAAAAATTACTATCAAGTATGTGTGTTTGGATTTTTATAATGTTACTTATACAGATTTTATGTAGTTGATTCCTGTAGAAGCTGTAAGCTTCAGAGACACACGTAAAACAAAACAGTTACTAAAAGTACGAGTTATAGGTTTCTTACCTAAAGCAGCATTGATTGCCCCATTTATAATGTAGAGTGTTTGTTTTTACACTGACAGAAGAACCCTCTTGACTACATGTAGTCAGGCAAAGGCTGCTCTATTACACCACTCAAGGGAAGACGATGTCGAGTCACATAACATCCTCAAATATATCAGGGCTCAACAAGAATCTATAAGTTCGTTTTAATAATGCCGAACGCAACATTTGATAAATGAAAGACCCACTCAAGTCTTCACTTTCCTTCGTTGTCTTTGTTTGCTTGTGTTTATTTTATTATTTATTGACTGCTTGGAACTTTTGTTGTAACATGAAGTTGATTGACCTCAAACCAAAGTTTCTGTAATTGCGGTACATTCAATTTCAAAAGTGGGGCGAAAATTGTATGTGTGTGTAAAGTGTGTGTATGAAGGTCTAGGGCAGACTTAGATATTCAATGTTAAAATTATCATACAAACTTCATATTATCAGTATGACTTGACGACTCGAACAATATGAAATGAATGTTCCTGACTTAGAGTGTATTACAAAGTTGTTAGTTTAATGCGCATAATGAAATTACTGGAGACATTTTTTTAGATGTTCTGTACATAAAAAACATAGAAAGAATTAAGTGACTTAGCAACAATGTTTTTATGTAATAAATATTATAATATACATGTCATATAGCAATTTATTGATTTACATACCGTAGCCGAGTTGGTTAAGGTTGTTGAATTCAAACCAATTGCCCCTCACCGCTATGGGTTCAAATCCCAACATGTTAGGAAGCTATCCAGCTAGCTTACGGAACGTTGGTGGTTCTACTCAGGTGCCCGTTCGTGCCTGAAATAATGCACGGAAGGGCACATGAAGGTCTTCCTCCACCAGTAAAGCTGTAACATCGCAAAATGACCTATACTGTGTCGGTGTGACGTAAAACCCAATCAAAACAAACACTACAAAAAACAAATTTACATAATTTTACTTTGTAAGGGAGAGAAAAAAAATGTTCAATTAAGCAGATTGTACCATTTGAAAAAATTGTGTTTGTTTTTCTCATTCATTATCAGGCAGTTCAAAAGTAGTCTGCAATAATATAAGTTATGGCGTCGGTGATGGAATCAGCAAGAGAAAATTCAAGAACTGATAATCATAAGATGTTTATGGATGGAAGCTCCATGTCCAACGTTCATGAGTATCACCATAATGGTTTACTCCTATCAACAGGACATGCGTTCGGGAAGAGGTACGGTTGTAAGTTATTGTTTATTCTGTTACGATGTGATTTTTCTAAATATACTAGTATATAAGTAATTATTAGCTCACCTGTCACAAAGTGACAGGGTGATCGCTTTTTCGTCCGCGTCCGTCCGTCCGTCGTCCGTCCGTCGTCCGTCGTCCGTTCCGTAAACTTTTGCTTTAAATGACATCTCCTCATAAACCACTGAGCCAATTTCATCCAAACTTCACAGGAATGTTCCTTTGGTGGTCACCTTTAAAAATTGTTCAAAGAATTTAATTCCATGCAGAACTCTGGTTGCCATGGCAACCGAAAAAAAATCTTTTAAATATCTTCTTTTAAACAACCCTAAGAGCTAGAGCTTAGATATTTGGCATGAAACATCTTCTAATGAGTGTCTACCAAGTTTGTTCAAATAAAAGCCCTGGGGTCAAAATTGGCCCCGCCCCCGGGGGTCATTGATTTTCCCTATATATGCATATAGTAAAAACTTAAAAGATCTTCTTTTAAAGAACTGTAAGAGCTAGAGCTAAGATTTTTTGGCATGGAACATCTTCTAGTGAGTGTCTACCAAGTTTGTTCAAATAAAAGCCCTGGGGTCAAAAATTGGCCCCGCCCCGGGGGGTCATTGATTTTCCCTATATGCATATAGTAAAACACTTAAAAAATCTTCCTTTAAAGAACTGTAAGAGCTAGAGCTTAGATATTTGGCATGAAACATCTTCTAGTGAATGTCTACCAAGTTTGTTCAAATAAAAGCCCTGGGGTCAAAATTGGCCCCGCCCCAGGGGGTCATTGATTTTCCCTATATGCATAAAGTAAAAACTTAAAAAATCTTCTTTTAAAGAACCCAAAGAGCTAGAGCTTAGATATTTGGCATGAAACATCTTCTAGTGAATGTCTACCAAGTTTGTTCAAATAAAAGCCCTGGGGTCAAAATTGGCCCGCCCTGGGGGGTAATTGATTTTCCCTATATGCATATAGTTTAAACTTAAAAAATCTTCTTTTAAAGAACCGTAAGAGCTAGAGCTTAGATATTTGGCATAAAACATCTTCTAGTAAATGTCTACCAAGTTTGTTCAAATAAAAGCCCTGGGGTCAAAATTGGCCCCGCCCCAGGGGGTCATTGATTTTCCCTATATGCATATAGTAAAAACTTAAAAAATCTTCTTTTAAAGAACTGTAAGAGCTAAAGCTTATATATTTGGCATGAAACATCTTCTAGTGAATGTCTACCAAGTTTGTTCAAATAAAACCCCTGGGGTCCAAATTGGCCCCTCACCAGGGGTCATTGATTTTCCTTATATGCATATAGTAAAAACTTATAAAAATCTTCTTTTTAAAGAACCCAAAGAGCTAGAGCTAAGATATTTAGCATGAGACATGTTCTAATGGGTGTCTACCAAGTATGTTCAAATAAAAGCCCTGGGGTCAAAACTGGCCCCGCCCCGGGGGTCATTGATTTTCCTTATATACATAGCAAAAAACTTAAAAATCTTCTTTGAAAAAACCCAAATAACTAGAGTTTGAGATATTAAGCATGCAACATCTTTAAGTAAATATCTACAAAGTTTGTTCAAATAAAAGCCCAGGGGTCAAACTGGCCCTGCCCGAGGGGTGTCATTTTTTTACTCTATGTGTATAGTAAAAACTTAAAAAATCTTCTTTTAAAAAACCCAATGAGCTAGAACTTAGATGTTTTGCATGAAACATCTTCTTATGGGTGTCTACCAAGTCTGTTCAAATAAACAAATAAAAGCCTTGGGGAAAAAATTGGGGGGGGGGGGGGGGGGGCTATATACAGGTGAGCGACCTCAGGGCCATCATGGCCCTCTTGTAATTTATAATTAATTAGATTAAATGAAGTGTAAGTGAGACTGATCAGTTCTACTTGAGTAGAAAGAGGTTGAATTCTTGATAATTAAAAGACAAATGGACAATCAGTGATTTAGTGATTATCATGAAATTAAGTGCACTCATGGCCTGATGCTTTCAACAGAAAGTTATCCAGTCAGCTGACAGAAGGTTTAACACAGGTGCCTTTTCATACCAGGAATATAGCATAGAGTTGCATCTTTGGACTTAAATCATAAGTAAAGCTGAAATTGCCACATGACCTACCCAGTGTTAATAATGAGACTAAAAGACTCAACTCAGAAACCAAAAGTAATGATCTATCAGGACTTC